CTCAAAAAAAAAAAATGTGCTCTAGCTGAATGTTGTCCAAAACACTGCCATCTCATGGCTGCAACTATTTTTTAAAAGATTTGTTATTTTTTATTATTATTATTTTTTCACATGAGTTTTGCCAGAGAAAGACCAGGGGGTAGGGAGTGAGAAAGTAAGTCACCAGGCTATTAGAACACGTGTTAGTATGAGGTGAACATAGGCCCTTGAGTAGCTAACAGATTTTTTTTTTGAGAGGATTTTGCTATAGGGTGCGTGCACTTGCCAGACAGAGAGAGACAGAGAGACAGAAAGCGAGAAATCACCCCTCAGGGAGGATGGCCACGCTGCAATCCCTTCTCCTCCATTCTCCTCTCTGGATCTTGGGCACGCATACACAAGCGCCCGGCGTGAGTTTTAAGCCACCTAGTCCGGGACTTGAACCGTGGTCGACTACATGGTAGTACAGCGATATAGCCACTATGCTAACTGCTGGTCCCACAGGTTTTTTTTTTTTTTTCTTTTGAAGGAAAGTACAGCTTTATTGCAAAGTGCAAAGCAAGGAGAGTGGGCAGCTCATGCTGAAAAGACTCGGTCTCCCTGAGGAGTCCCCCAGGTGCGTTTTTTGTTTTGTTTAAGAATTATTTTTAAACTTTATTTATTTATTTATCTTCATTTGACCAGAGAGAGAGAGTGAGAGAGATAGAGAAAGTGAGAAAGCAAGTCACCAGGTCCAGGACTCGAACCATGGTCAGCCATGTCAGAGTCCAGCATCTTTAACCACCAAGTCATCTGTCAGCCTCTATACATGTTTTTTTGTTTGTTTGTTTGCTTGTTTGTTTAAAGAATTATTTATTTAACTTTATTTATTTACTCATTTATTCTAATTTGATCAGAGAAAGGCACAGAGAGAGGCAAAGTGAGAAAGCAAGGCACCAGGTCCAGGACTCCAACCATGGTCAGCCATGTGGGTGTGTCCAGCGCCTTAACCACCATGTCACATGCATTTTTTAAGGGCAAAATTAGGGGCAGAGGTCCCAGGTGCATGATTGGTCCCAGTGATTGGTTCTAGAGGATGTGATCTTCTCATGGGTGTTCTTGATGTGTGAGGCCTTAGATAATTGAATTTCTGTTCAGGTTTCTGGAGCCATTCAGCCTGGGGTCTTTGAGCTCACAGCCAGCAGTTTCCGTGTTTTCCCATACGCCGCTTCAAGTAATCCCTCCTCATTATTATGGATGACCAAGTAGCTAACAGATTTGATTCAATACAAATATTTTACATAAAATCTACTTAATATTAAATATCTGTGAAATATGAATAACAGCATAAATAAGCCTGTCTAGTCATCCACATTTATTGGACTTAAATTCTCAATTATCATGAACAGATACAAATATTTGGTGTTAGACATTTTATTTCCTTTATTATACTTATTTTGAAAGCACTGCAAAATAATGCCAGCTCTAGGGTGCAGTAGTGACTCACTGCTCTAGAGAAGGCAGATCTCATATAACCAGTGGGGTTCAAATTCCTGCCCTGGTCAGCCTGAAAAACACCTGGCGCACCTGTGCCAGTGCCCAGAATCACAAGAAGCTGGAGGTCTGGAGTAAGGCAATTGTGACACGACCAGGACATGTGGAGGGTGCCCACCTCTCTCTTTCTCTCTCTCATGCATGCAAACACATTCTGTCATGGATAAAGGGAAGGAGCTACAAAATATATAAAGGTTCTTTGGGAGAAAAACACCAGAAGATGTGTGCACTTGCTAGAGAAAGATGAGGGAGAAATAACCCCCAGTGGGGTGTGGTCACACCACAACCCCTTCTCCATTTCTTCATATTGTGGAGATGATAGGCCTGCACACATGCCCCTGATGTGTTTTTCAGGTTGTAGGGCTGGGGTTCCAACCACCGTAGGACACTACTTCCTTAATCACTAGGCCCCAGGGCCAGCCCTAAAGATTCTTGACTAGGCTGTTATTTCAGACTCCTTGTTGCGTCCCATCCTTTCCCCACCCCTGCTCCAATTAGCTGCATCATTTTTTAAGAAGATTTTTTGCCATAGGGATTGTATGCTCACCAGAGAGAGGCAGTGAGAGGGAAGGTGAGATATCACCCCCAGGGGAGGAATGGCCACACCACAACCCCATCTCCTCAGTTCTCCTCTTGGAAATTTGGGCATGCACATGCATGTGCCTGGCATGATCATCAGTCCTCTGGAGTCAAACCACTGTTGGCCTGTGGGAGTCCAGCACCTTAACCACCACCCCTCCTGTATAATATTTTTATCTCATTATTTTAAAGGATCAGAACCTATCCTGTCCACCCTTCATCAGAACCACCTCTGGTAGACCTGAGGGAAATTAAACTGGGTTTGTCTCACATCCGCAGCCATTTTCTTAGTAATAGAATCTGGAAATATTGAACTTCAAAGGCACATGGGACCAAAGAGCATCATCAGGACTCTACTGGCTAGAACTGTGTTTTGGGGGCTCTATGGCTAAGGGCAGGGACGCTGTGACCGTGTCCTGCCCCAGCCTTTGCATCCTCTCTTCTTGGGCGATCAACTTAGAGGGCACCTGGAGTGTGAACTGTCTGCATCTAAGGTTTGGGGAGGGGGGCTGTGGTTTAGGGTGACCTCATTGTCCAGTTCCAGCCAGCGGCACCCAAATGTACTGTTTGGGAGCAACATCCATTATTTATTGCAGTCAACTTGAAAATAGCTGGGCAAGTGACAGAAGGAGAAAAAAAATGCAAAGATTCATTTTGTCATGAGTAGAAAACTCACGGTTTTGTGCATTTTAGTTGCAAATGTAAGTAGGTTTCGAAGTTCTCCTGGGACCCACATTCCTACAACAGCATAATGCCAAAAATCGATTTCAGAAAAGGCCCCCAACGGACTTTCATTAGTTGCAAAATCTAGTGCAGAGGTCTCTCGCTTCTCTCATGTACCCTTGTCCCAAGCAATGGTGGCAGTGAAGAGCGGCTGCAAAGCCGAGGGGCAGAGAGTGGCAGCTTCGCAGGAAAGCGCACACCCCGGAGTGCACTCTTCGCAAGCGCCGAACCGCGCGAGGGAGTAGGGGGCGGGCTCTGGGAGTCCCTCCCCTGGGCGGGGCCAAGCCGTCCTCCCAACCCGGCTTTGCAGAGCGAAAATCTGGTGTCTCCAGTTTAGAAACAGCACATGCAAAACTGATCCTAAGCCTCTCCATATATCAGCAGATCGCCTACGAGTGTTTGGTAAGGGCTCTGTCGGTCTGCGCAGGTTACCTCCCGCGGACTCGGCGCCTGAACGTCTGCGCCAGCCCTGGGCCCCCTGCAGCCGGAAGGTTACAGTCCCTGGAGCCCTGGAGTTGGTGGCTGCGGCCCACGAAGAAGCAGCAGCGCGAGGTAAGTGCCCTCTTGTGCTTATCTTTCCTAGTGCCCAACTTTTCCATTAAATGGACTTGGCTTTTCTTCCTCCAGGGCCCCTCTGGCTCTCCGTATATTTATTTATTTTTAATCGAGATAGGTAAGTATTTCCTGCCGTTTTCAAGGCTTTCTTTTCTTTATTTTTGGGTCGCTTCACTTATTTTATTCCTCAGCTGCCTGTTACCAAACAGCATGAATGAATGATGCAATATTGCATAGGAGAATCATCAGTCCAAGATTGAAAAAACACCAAAAGTGTCTGACTTTGTCATCTTCTTTCCCATTAGAATTAGAATTTTTGAATAAGTACTTACCATATACAATGTTATAAAGACAGAACTTCAAACTGGGGATTAAATAAGTAACTCATTCATTCATTAAATTTATTTGCTATTTTTTTATATTTGATTTGCACATTATAGTTACTCTTTGATTTTTTTCCCCCTTTTGAATATTTGATAACTAGTATTGGAATGGGGGTCAGGAAAGAACATAAAATCCAAGATTTTTGTATTTTATTACAGCTGCCAGGTAGGTTTTCAATACAACAATGATCATAGTCCTGCTACTTGCATGCTGGTGAAAGAGTAGTCAGGACATTTTAAATTTTTGAACAATTTGATTCAAGCATAATACCTTTGTAAAAGCCAATGTTTTATTAATATATAATTTAATGCAATAAAATGCACCAATTTAAGTGTACATTTTGATGAATTTTGACAAATTTATACACCCATAATCACCACCACAATAGAATATTAGCATCATCCCTAAAAGCTTCCTAGAACCTGGCCAGCAGGTGGTGTGCTAAGAGCAGCTGGATTCCACATGGTCATATCTGCAGTTTGAGTCCATGACAGAGTGGTTTGAAAAATCACTCCAGGCACGTGTGCATGCGTACTCAAAATCCTGAGAGGAAGATTGATTGCAGCCTGACCATCCTCCTTAGAGGTTGATTTCTCTCCCTCTCTCTCTTTCTCTCTCTCCAAGCACATGCATCCTATAGCAAAAAACTAAAAGTAAAAAAAAAAGTTTACTAGAACCGTGTCTAGTCTTCCAGCACCACTGATCTTTGTCTCTATAGTACTCGCATTTTCTGGGGTCTCATATACATTTCACCCCAAAGTTTGTAATCATTTTTTTTTAATTTTATTTATTCATTTATTTATTAAATTTGACCAGAGAGAGAAAGAGGGAAAGTGAGAAAGCAAGCCACCAGGTCCAGGACTCAAACCATGGTCAGCCATGTGGGAGTGTCTAGCACCTTAACCACCATGCCACCTGCTAGTCCCCATAAAGTTTATAATCTTTTGTGCCTGACTTTTGGTGAGTATCATGTTCTATATTTATTTATGTTGCAGCATGTATCAATAATTCACTCCTTTTAATTACCACAATTTGTTTATTCATTTACCTATTTTATATGTATATAGTTGGAGGTTTATTTAAATTTATTTCCATGAGCAAGAGACATAGAAAGAGTGAGAGAGAGAGAGAAACATGCGCAGCAGGGTCTCATATCATGATCTACCCCCAGCTTTTCCTGGCCAGGGAGGGTCATTGGCCAGTGTCCAACTTGTATAAATCAATCCACCAGGGAATGGAACCGGATCTTCCACATGGTCTCCAGCACTGCAGAGAGCTTTGCCATTGCAGCCGGGCATCTCCTCGTTTTTTTCATGTTGTCATATTATTGAGCTGTAAGAGTTCTTTATATATCCCAGGTTGTAAGTCCTTTGTCAGAATCCTGTATTGCAAATATTGTCTCCCATTGGTGGCTTTTTTTTTTTTTTTTTTTTTTTTATTTTCCCCCCTAAATTGTATCTTTTAAGGAACAGAAGTTTTTAGTTTTGATGAAGTCCAGTTTGTAATTATTTTCTTATATTATTTTTGCTTTTTGTGTTTTATTTAAGAAAATTTTGCCTACCTCAAAGTTGTTATATTGGGTATATTGCTGTAAAACATATTACTCACAAGTTAACTTAAAACAACAAATTAAAAAAATATTTATTTAATTTTATTTATTCATTCATTTATCTTAATTTGACCAGAGAAAGACAGACACAGAGAGAAGGAAAGTGAAAAAACAACCCACCAGGTCCAGGACTCGAACTGTGGTTGGCCATGTGGGAATGTCCAGTACCTTAACCACCACACCACCTGCTGGCCCCAACAACAAACTTTTTAAAAAGAATTATTTCTTTTATTTATTATTATTGTTATTTTTTATTTGACTATAGCAAGACACGGAGAGAGAGAAAGATAGAGAAAGCAAGCAAGCAAGCTGCCAGGTCTGGGACTCAAACTGTGGTCAACCATGTGGGAGTCCAGCATCTTTAACCACCACACTACTTGCTGGCCCTAAAACAAAAAAAAAAAATTGTAAAAAAAAATTTCCAAACGACATGGGCACTTGCCAGAGAGACAGAGAGAAAGAGAGGAAGAGAATGGAGAAAGCACCCACAATGGGACATGGTCATGACATAATCCTTTCTCTTTCATTTCTCTGTCCTGTCAGGATTTGGGGCATGCACACACATGCACCTGGTGTGTTTCTCAATCTGAGAGAAACTGCAAACTGCACAGTCAGCATGTAGGACCTGGCTCCCTTAACCACCAGGTCATGGGGCTGGCCCCCCAATTTTATTTTCTTATGGTTTCTGTGGAAATAGCATCTGGATGCAGCTAAATGGAGTATCCTGGCCTAGGGTCTCTGAAGAGGTTGCAGTAGCCAAAGTGGGCTCACCTGAATGCCTTATTGGCAGAAGAGCTGCTGCTTAGCCCACTCACATGGTTGGCCGGATTCCGTTTCTTGATTCCTTTAGGGCTGTTGGACTGAGGGAAATTGGCTGAAGGCCTCTCAGCTCTTGCTACATGGGCAGCTCACAGCATGGCAACTGCCTTCTCACAGAGCAAGAGGGGTGAAAGGTGGGGGTGAGATGGAAACCACATTTAAAATTTTTAAAAATAATTATTTTGTTTAACTTTATTTATTCATTTTAATTTGACCAGAGTGAGAGAGAGAGAGAGAAAGAGAGAGAAAGAAAGTGAGAAAGTAAGCCACCAGGTTCAATTGACCATGTAGGGGTCCCACACCCTTAACTACCACACCACCAACCCCTATTTTTAATTTTTTGAGGTTAGAATTCACTTAGAAATTATTTTTAAATTTTGAAATAATTATAGATTTACAGGAGAATGCACAGATTTTTTTTTTTTTTAATTGTCATAAGGCATTTGCTAGAGAGAGAGGAAAAAATATCCCCCAATGGGGTGTGGTTATACCACAATCTCCCTTCCTCCATTCCTCCTTCCCCTAAGGATCTAGGGCATGCATGCCCAATTTGGAGTGCATGTTTTACGAGTTGCTGAGGCTGAGATTCAAACCACAGTCAGCCATGTGGGATCCAGGTCCCTTAATCGCTGAGTCCCTTCATCTCTGGAGCTGGCCCAGAGATTTTTTTCTTTTTTTCTTTGTTAATATTTATTTATTTAATTTTATTTGTTATTATTATTTAATTTGATGAGAGAAGGAGAGAGAGCAAGCCACCAGGTCCAAGACTTGAACCATGGTCAGTCGTGTGGGAGTCCATCACCTTATCTACCGTGCCACCTGACAGCCCCTTTTTCTTAAGTTTTCTTTTTTTTTTCTTTCTTTCATGAGCCAGAGAGGAGGTGAGACAGAAAGATAGCACTCCCAACGGGGTCCTCATGCCGTGGTCCACCCTCCCTAGCCTCAGCCCCAGGTCATGGGCACACCCATGCCCGTCATACTCAGTAAGGTCTCTGGATTTGAACTTAGAACCTTCCCAGGTGATTTAGCCTTGCACAGAGTTGTGTTTTACTACTGCATCACTGTCTGGCCCCTGCAAAGAAATACACAGGGATTCTCATGCCCTGTTATTTCCTGCATGCTCCTTCCCCGATTTTGGTATCCCAAGGATTCAAAATTGTTACAATCTGTACAGCTCTACAGTTATACCTGCATACATACATTTTTGTGTCACAGTCTAATCTCACAGGTGACCTCTAGTCGTATTTGACTCATTCTGTTCCCTAAAACAGAGCCACTAAATCCAGTCCACAATCCAGGGGAGGGGATTAGAGAAGGGCGAGAATATCAGGAAGTGGAGTCCCTGGGCCTTTTATTTATTATTATTGTTTTTTAAAGTTTGTTATAGGGCTCCTGTGCCTGTCAGAAAGAGAGAGAAAGTGAAAAAGTACCCCCCCAAAGGGAGATGGATGTGCCACAATCCCTTTTCTTCTCTCTTGAGATTTTGGGCATGCACCCACATGCGCCCAGCAGCCAGTAGTCTTTCAAGTCAGTGGGATCTGGCACTCAAAGTGCTCAGCCATGTGGGACCCAGCTGCCTTAACCCCTGTGCCACCTGCTGGCCCTCACTGGGCCATTTTAAAGGCTATGAACCACGGTTATAAAACTTTTCCTCCTATGTTTTAGTAGTTTTAGCTTCTGTGTTTAGGTCTGTGATTCATTTTGAGTTAGTTCTTGGTATCAGACTGCAGGTCAGGGAAGAAGATACATTTCAGTTTCTTAATTTTATTATATTGGGTCATCTGAAAAGTCATGATGTGTTTTTCTATGCAAAAATGCATCATGGCTTTTCCAAAGGCCCAATAACTGCCAGATAGGATTTCAATATAATAATGATCACAGTCCTGCCATTTTTATGTTGATGAAACAAAATGAATCTCCTTACATTTATTTCCACATAATTTAATACATGTCCAATTTATTATTCATTCATTCATTTTTTTTTTTTTTGGAGAGGTTTTTGCTATAGGGTGTGTGCATTCGCCACCGGGTCCGGGACTCGAACTGCAGTCAACTACATGGGAGTCCAGCGACATAGCCATTACACCAACTGCTGGTCCTTAGTACATGCCCAATTAAAAAAAAAGTAGCAATGTATGAATTCTAGGTTCGTAGGGAAATAGGGTAAGTCTTTAGAATAATTCTTTTTAGATGTAAATGATACCAAAGGAAAAAGAGTTAACTATATTAAGAAACAAATTGAGAATACTCCTTTTAGGGGCCAGCAGGTAGTGTGGTAGTTGGGGACACTGGATTCCCAGATGGCTGACTGCCGTGTGGGTGCCAGACCTGGCAGCTTGCTTTCTCACTTTCCCTCTTTCTCTCTCTCTCTCACTTTGTCCCTTTCTGGTCAAATTAAAAATAAAGTTAAGTAAAATAATTCTTTAAAAAAAGAAAATACTCCTTTTATTATCCTGCTCTGGGCAATGAGACTTCTCAGAGGAGCAGTAACTTTGGGGAAGCCCCCCCTCCGCCCCTGCCCAGGCTCCAGCTTCCCCTGGCTAATGGGCTTCAGAAGACCCACAGAGCCTGTCCTGCACAGCAGAGTTGAGGGGGAAATGCAAGGTGTGCATCTCTGGGTACCTAGCTTTGAGTACTCCTTGTCCTTACCTGGCCTTGAGTACTCCTTGTCCTTACCTGGCCTTGAGTACTCCTTGTCCTTACCTGGCCTTGAGTACTCCTTGTCCTTACCTGGCTTTCAGTACGCCTTGTCCTTGTTGTTGTTACATGGCACTTGTGGTCACTGGGACACACAGAAAATGAGAAAGCACCCTTTGGGAAGAATAGTCATACCACAATCCTGTTCTTTCAAGATTTGGGGCACACTTGCACACATGTCCAGTTTTTTCTTTTTTTTTTTTTCTTTTAGAGGGATTTTTGTCCTAGGGTGGAGTGCACTTGCCAGAGAAACAGAAAGGTAAAGCGAGAAATCACCCCCCGGGGAGATGGCCATGCCACAATCCCTTCTTTATTCTCCTCTCAGGATCTTGGGTGGGCATGCACATACACGCACCTGGCATGAGTTTTTTTGTTTGTTTGTTTTTATTTTTTGTTTTTAAGAATTATTTTATTTAACCTTATTTATTACCATTATTATTTTTCAGTTGGATCAAACAGAGAGAGAGAGAAAGCAAGACACCAGGTTCAGGACTTGAACTGTAGTCGACCATGTGGGAGTCCATCGCCTTTAACCATCACGCTACTATCCTCCCCACCCCATGAGTTTTAAGCCACCAGATCTGGGACTCAAACTGCGTGGGAGTCCAGCAACATAACCATTACATCATCTGCTGGTCCCTGCCCAATAGATTTTGCAAGCCAATGGCATAGTCAATGAGTGAGGTCCCGTTGTCTCAGCCACCATACCACTGGCTGTCCTCACCTTACACTCTCCTTTACAGGAGTAGATCTCATGTGACTCAGGTGTGAGGAGGAGTATGCTGAATCCTTTTCTCTGCGTTCAGTAGAACCACTTCAGAACCTTCTGAATTATTTATTTCTCTTACTATAAGGGTCCACTCTGGCTCCATTCATTTTCAGTCTTTGCCTTTTCTTGCTTCCTGTTCTTAAACATTTCTTTTAATGTACCTTTGCCCCTGCTTTCTGAGATTTAGTGCTTTTCCTCACTTTCTCTCTCTCTCTTTTTTATTTTATTTTTATTTATTTTATTTTATTTTTGTCACAGGGCATGCATGCTCACCAGAGAGGAGAGAGACAGAGATATAGAGAGAGAAGTGAGAAATCAACCTCTTGGGGGATGGCCACACCACAATCCTTTTCCTCCCTTCTCAGCTCGGGATTTGAGCATGCACACACATGGGCCCAGCTTGATTTTTCAAGCCACCAGGTCCTAAACTCGAACTGTGGTCTACCATGTGCGAGTCCAGCGCCTTAACCACCATTCCACCTGTTGGCCCTGTATAAGTGATTTTCTAACAGACCTGCAACTTTGGCAGAATCGAAGCCATAGAAGAGCGTGTTTGCCCCTCTGTAAGCTTGAAGGAGGCAAAGGTAAAGCATTTCCCAGAGGAAGCAGCCTTCAGAAGCTGCATCTGCCCGACTTTTGTAGCTGTCCTATAGGCCAGGGGGAGCCAGTATCCCTCTTTCTTGTCATGTGTCTGGCCCTTGTGGTTCATGTCCTCATTTTGTCTTTCTAGGCTCTTCTTCCTCTTGCAGAAAACACAACTCTTCCTTCAGGAAATCCATAGTCAAAAGTTTCTGCTACATTTTAATTCAGGAAAGGAGCAGAAAGAGAAGAGGATCATTTTCTAGGAATCCAGCACTGGAGAAACGTGAGTTCTATCTGCCCTTTGTTGTAGTTAATGTTTTTTTTTTGTATGTCTGGTTGTTACATTGTCTAATGGAAGCTTACTTCTCACCTGAATAAGCAAATGAGACCAGCTGCAAGGGGCAGCAATAATTGCTTCTCAAGAGAAGCCAGATCCTGGGAACTGGCCATGTTGCTTGACTCCCACATAGTCGACTGCGGTTCGCGTCCCGGACCCAGTGGCTTAAAACTCACGCCGGGCATGTGTGCGTGCGTGCCCAACATCTCGAGAGGAGAATGGAGGAGAAGAGATTGCGGCGTGACCATCCCCCCTGGGGGGGGTGATTTCTCACTTTCTATCTCTCTGTCTCTCTCTGTCTGGCGAGCGCACGCGCCCTATAGTGAAAATCTCTCCAAAAAATAAATAAATAAATAAAAGAGAAGCCAGATCCCATATGGAAACCACGGTTTGAATCCCCAACTAAGTTGGCCTGACACTCTGGGCATGTATGCAAGTGTCCCAAACATGATGGGCCAGAGGACTGGATAAAAGGGATTACAACGTTACCAGACCCTATGGAGGGTACCCTCCCCCATTACTCACATGTGTGCACATGTGCTCTATCGTGAACAAAGAAAAAAATTATTATACCCTATGTGGCATAAAATTTTATTTTCCCAGAAGAATAGCTCTTTGTTTCTTTGTTGTTATTTTTTTAAAAAAAGAATTATTTAATTTTATTTATTCCTTCACTTATTTTAATTTGACCAGAGAGAAACAGAGGGAGAAAGAGAAAGTCAGAAAGCAAGCCACCAGGTCCGGGACTCAACTGTGGTCGACCATGTGGGAGTGTCCACTACCTTAACCACTGTATCACCTGCTGACCCCATCTTTGTTGTTGTTTTAATATTTCTATAGGGTGGGTGTGTTCATAGGAGAAAGAGCAAGAGAGAGAAAGGAAGAAAGCACTCTCCAGAGAGGATGGCCTTACTGCAGCCCCTTCTCCTCCACTGTCCTCTAGCGATTTTAGGCATACACAGGTGCTGGCCTGTTTTTCAAGCCGCTGAATCTGGGACTCCGTGCAGTTGGCCATGTAGGATCCAGCCTCCTTAACCACCATCCCATCTGCTAGCCCAAGATAGCTGTTTTATTGTTTTCTTGGTTTTGTTTGTTCGTTTGTTTGTAAAATATCCTCTCAGTGGACTGGCCAGGGACCCTATCCCTATTTACTAGGAGGCTATTTGAAGCTTCTCAAAATCTATTGTGCCTTGTTTCAGTGCTAAGAAGACCTGACCACATTCCCTCTGCCCAGTCCACTTATTCTCTCAGCTGTGCTTAACCTCTACAACCTCTGCATACTGTCTTTTTTTTTTTAAGAATTATTTTATTTAACTTTATTTTAATTTGATCAGAGAGAGAGAAAGAAAGAAAGAAAGTGAGAAAGCAAGCCACCAGATCTGGGACTCAAACCATAGTCAGCCATGTGGGAATCCAGTGCCCTTAACCACCATGCCACCTGCCAGGCCCTGCATACTGGCTTTTATCTGCTCCCACAGGTGAAGGTAAGAGGTCAGTTCTAACAAAAGGTGGAGGGGGTAAGATCATCTTAGATGCCTCTTGTGAGATGTGTAGATAGAAAATTTGGGAGACAATTTGAACCAGGAGAGTTTTTCTTATCTAAAATAAGGCTTCCTAAGGCTGGCTCTTAAGGAAAATCTGCTTTTGTACTTTGGAGCTAGGGATGAGAAGAGCTTGTCAGCAGAGGCTTTTTTATCAGCTGGCCCTTGTTTGGGGATCCTATTCTGAGCAGTGGTGACGCCTGGGCCTGGGAGCTGCCATGTCCGAGCATAGACCCTTCCACAGGATCTCTTCCACGCCTAGTCCTGTCGTCTCCCTCCCCCAAGAACCAGATATGAAGGATCCAGAGTCCATTCCCCAGCAACGATTTTTCTATGTGTGAAATTCTAATGTACACACTTTACTTTGAAGCAACTGAACTTACTCAGCAGATTTTTTCCCTATAGCCATGAGAATTTTGAGTATGTATGAATCGTGGGTCACTCTGGGTGGAGACAATGAAAAATAGGAAGAATCAGAAGTGAACAAGGAGGCAGGTTAGAAAGGCAGCTGAGGCTGTCTGCTACCCTGCTCAATCAAGCAGAGGGAGTTGAAACCCTTGTAACCCGAGGGTTAGGGCATATCCTCTGGCATGTGCATTTTATGGACAGCTAAGGTCACATAATCCAGGTCAGTCTCCTAGGAAGGGTATGGAGAAAGAATCAGCTTCCCAAGGAAATTCAGTCTAATATTGTCTCAGACATTCTGTGTTTCTCTCTTTGGGACCATAGTGTAACCTAGGAGGCAGGTATCAACAATTCTAAGTACTTAGTCAGGCCCAGTGTCCAGCAGGGATATGGAAATCAGCCCTCATTTTATTTGAGGAAATGTGTGTTTCCTTATATGCTCAGGTCTTTGGTCTTGTTGATGCTATTGCTGGTGTCAGTGGTTGGAAAGAGGCTCAAGTATCTTCTTTTTCATATGTTGAGCACTAATTATTTGTCAAATTTTAAAAGAAAGACGAAGCTCCTTGAAGACAGTGTACATTCTGTCCATTCTCAGGTCTTGTGCCAGGCCTTGTGATGCTTCAGGTGCCTGGCTGTCATTCTCCGGAGTATCGTCTGTTCTTAGTTACGGTGTGTTGCTTCATGAGCATTCTTAAAATATTTTCATTTTAGCTTCTTTTACATCTTTTTGTGTGTGTGTGTGTGCATCTGTTTTTGGTTTCCTTTTCATTCATCTATGGCCCATTCTCCATGCTTAGTGAAATTATACTGTATTGGGACCAGTAGTTAGCATAATGGCTATGTCACTGGACTCCCTCATAGTCAACCACAGTTCGAGTCCTGGACCCGGTAGCTTAAACTCATGCCAGGCGTGTGTGCCTGTGTGCCCCAGATCCCAAGACGAGAATGGAAGAGAAGGGATTGCAGCATGGCCATCCCCCCTGGGGGGTGATTTCTCACTTTCTGTCTCTCTGTCTCTCTCTGTCTGTCTGGCGAGGGCACATGCCGTATAGCAAAAATCTCTCCAAAAAAAAAGAAAAGAAAATAAATTATACTGTATTAAGCACTGTTTTTCTACTTATGGACTGTATCTTCCAAGCCTTTCAGTAAACTTGCTTGGCCATGTAATATGAATTAGGTGAATTTTCACTGGACCAGAGTCAAATGGTTGGTTTCTGAGTCACAGAGAGAGTAGGTTATAGAGCTCCCTGCAGTTCTCTGGCTTGGTGGGAATTTCAAGGATTTAGGAAACCTGCTTCTGTCTGTTGGTCTCCCAAAGGCCGTACCGACTCTCTTCTCTCATGGTTAATGAATCATCACCCACTGTGATGCTCAGCTAGCAGAACTTTGGTCTGAATTCCTGATGGAAATCTTTGACATTGCCTGGGTCTACTTTAGGTTTTCATCAATGCTTAACCCATTGTTCTGTTTAAATTGTGCACCTCTTTGCTGTCTCTGTGCATTTGAGATCCAAGTTTTACTTCTTCAGTCATTGCTTGGGTATAATGTGCTTATACTTGTATTAATCTGCAAAATGGGCATGTTAATATTATTCTTGCAAAAAGGTACATGACCAGACACAGATGACAGTTTTGAGGTTCCTCCAACTTCAGAATATTTGTTGCTGATTCTGTCTCATGGGTGTAGCCATCATTGATGGTTTAGGATTTTTTAAAATTAATTAATTATTTTTTAATTTCCATTTGTTGTTATTATTATTATTATTATTATTATTATTTTAATGTGACCAGAGAGAAACAGAGAGAGAGAAAGGGGAAGTGAGAAAGCAAGCTGCTAGGTCCGGGACTCGAACTGCGTTCCGCCATGTGGGAATCCAGCACTCCCAACCACCGTGCCACCTGCTGGCCCCGATGGTTTAGGATTTTAATAAGGCTAATAGCACACTAAGTTGGAATTGTTTTATTGAGAACTGTATTCAGTTCCTTATTGAGTTCTCAATAACTGCTTACATTCAACTGTATTTAATTTGTAAAACATTTACCTAATATCTACTGGGTGCTGGATTCAGAGATGAAAAGGTAATTAATTCAATCAAGGGCTCTCTCCTAATGGAGCTCACATTCTAGGAGAGGAATGACAGTGATTAACTAATTTTCTTGGTGGAGGAGAGAGAGCGACATAGCCATTACGCTAACTGCTGGTCCCAAGGAGTTCATGTATTCTTTATCTTTGTTTCATTGTGTATTTGAAATTTTTCACAATAAAAGGTTTAAAAAAATAGTGTGGATACCTAACTATACTATTCATGATTATTTAATTTTGTTTATTCATTCAAACCTCAGAAAAAATTAATTGAACATCTACTCAAAAGAAGTGTTTGGAAAATTTTGGATCATAGTGTCAGGATCCAGGAGTGGAGATTACATGCCTGTACATAAGTTTGAGACAAATTAGAATATTACGATTTTTGTACAATAAAAACAGATCTACAGAAAGCATCTTGAAAGTTCTGGGCCAGATGCTTTTCAGCTGAAGGGACTTAGGGAAGACTTTATATCTGGCTTTTGAGATTTAGTCATTCACTTAGTTTGACAAATATTAATGAGGCCTCCTTTGTGCCAGGTGCTGTTGTCAGCTCTAAGGTTGCAGTGGTGAGTGAAGCAGATGAAGATCCTTACTCTTGGGGCCAACGGGTGTGATGGTTGGGGTGCTGGACTTCTACATAGCCAACTGCAGTTTGAAAAGTCCCAGACCTGGGGAACCAGCAGTTAGCGTAATGGCTATGTCGCTGAACTCCCACGTAGTCGACTGCGGTTCGTGTCCCGGACCCGGTGGCTTAAAACTCACGCTGGGCGCGTGTGCGTGCGTGCCCAAGATCCCGAGAGGAGAATGGAGGAGAAGGGATGGCGGCGTGACCATCCCCCCTGGGGGGTGATTTCTCGCTTTCTGTCTCTATGTCTCTCTCTGTCTGTCTGGCGAGCGCACGCGCCCTACAGTGAAAATCTCTCCAAAAAAAAAAAAAAAAAAGTCCCAGACCTGGTGGCTTGCTTTCTCACTTTCTTTTTCACTTTTCTTTCTCACTATCTCTGTCTGTCTCTTTCTGGTGAGTGCGTGTGCCCTATAGCAAGTTTTTATTTTTTTGGAGAAGTTTTTTTTTTTTTCCTGTAGGGTGTGTATGTTTACCAGAAAGACAATGAGAGACAGAAAGACAGAAAATGAGAAATCACCCCCCAGGGGGTGGGCCATATCCCTTCTCCTCCATTCTCCTCTTGGGATCTTGGGCATGCACACACGCCTGGTGTGAGTTTTAAGCCACCGGGTCTGGAACTTGAACTGCGGATGACTACATGGGAGTCCAGCGACATAGCCATTACACCAACTGCTGGTCCCCCCTATAGCAAATTAAAAAATAACAATAATAAATAAAATAAATAATTTTTCTAAAGGTCCTTACTCTTTAAAAAAAACTTTTTAAAAAGGTTTTTACCATAGGATATGTGCACTCACTGGACAGAGAGAAAAACAGTGAGACGGAAAGTGAGAAATGACCCCCCAGGCGGATGGCCATGCTGCAATCCCTTCTTCTCCATTCTCCTCTTGGGATTTTAGGCATGTGCACACATGTGCCTGGTGTGAGTTTCAAGCTGCCTGGTTCAGGACTCGAACTGGGGTCAATCATTTGGGAGTCCAGTGCCTTAACCACTACATCATCTGCTGGCCCCAAAGTTCCTTACTCTTAAAGCTCCTGGTGAGCACAGATAAACAATAATTAATTAGCATAGTAAGTACATTTATTGTGTGTCAGATGGTACATGTTACAGAAAAAAAGAGTTGGACATAGTGAGGGAGATTAGTCATGTTGGGGCTGAGGGTAGGGAGAAGCAGTGTGCTCTGATACAGGGTAGTCAGGTTGGCTCACTGAAGATGAGAGAGCTGGCCAAGAGGATATCCAGGTGACAAGCATGCACAGGAGAGCCCAGCTAGAGCATAGGCCATAAGTCGGGAGCCTGCCTGGTGTCTTTGCAGAGCAGGAAGAGGACCAGTGGGGTTGGAGCAGAGTGAGAACAGGGTAGCAGGGAGGTCAGAGAGGTCACAGGGGAGGGGTGTTGGTGTTGCTGGTATAATGCCAGATTGAGGGGTGAATCTTACAAGCAATCATAAGACTTTGAGTAAAATAAGCAACAGTTGAAGGGTTTTGAGCCAGAGGTATGACATGAGCTGAGTGATAGCTTTCGATGACTGCTCTAACTCTGAGGTTGAGAACAAATACTGGGATGCGGCTCACAGAAGGGCTATTGGTGCCGCGTTGGCAAGAAAGACTGGTGACGCAGGTGGTGGTGATAGTGAGGAATGGTCAGATTTTGGTTAGATTGTAAAGTTAGAACAACAGAATTTTCTGGAAGACTGTATGTGGGTGTGAAGGAAATGTCACAGGGAGTGAAGGATTGAGTCGCCATCAAGGAAGAGAACTAAAGCTGCAATGATGGCAATTTTGGGGGGAGAGGGCAGATTAGGAGTTCAGTTTTGCACATGTTAAGTTTAGGATATTTGTTTACTAAACATCTGAGTGCAGGTCAGTAAGTGACTAGAGTTTAAAGTTTGGGAGAGAGAACAGAACTGCAGGTATACCTTTGGGAGTCACTTCCATAGAGCATTCAAAGCCCCGAGTGGGCAGATTCATCAGGGGAGTGAGTGTAGATAAAGAAGTATAGTCAACCACTTTCCCCAGAGTAATTATCCTGACTCTTGCAAATACCCATTCCTAGTTTCTCATCTGACCACTCCTCAAACAGATCAGCATTTGGTCAGATTGTCCTTGTTAGAGGCCTTTTTTAAGTTCGAAGGGGCTGTGGTCCTTTGTTTCTTTCTTTCTTCTTTTTTTTTAAAGAACTATTTATTTATTTATTTCCATTCGTTAATATTATTTTTTAATTTGACCAGAGAGAAATAGAGAAGAGAGAAAGGGAGAAAGCAAGCTTCCAGGTCCAGGACTCAAACCTTGGTCAGTCATGTGGGAATCCAGTGCCTTTAACCACCATACCGCAGTTCTTTCTTAAGTGAAGATGGTTAAACCTTAAACTGGCCCGCTTCAGAAGGATCAGCTCAAATAAGAGCATGGGGATAGGAAACAAAATAGGGTGCAGATAAGCAGCAGCAGACGTGTTGAGTACCCATGTGTTTTTTCCTCTATTTCTGATAGAGCATGTATCCATGCGTGTGTCGGGTGGGAAGATGGAGAGAGGAACACCCTCCACAGGGTCTGTTCCTACTGTGATCCCCTTCCTCTGGTCCTCTGGCCCGTTGGATTTGGGGCATGGTTTCAGCTGACCCGGACAGGGTTTTGAACTGCAGTCGCCATGTGGGGCCCAGCTAATGTTGGCAGCTTGTTACCATTGCACCATGGAGCCAGCTCTGCGTCTGTATTTTATACTTTTCTGTAGAACGGAAGTTTCATTCATATTTGCATTGGTAGTGTTAGTGCATATTTCAAAGCTGTCATCTAACTGGATTCATTCATCTACCATGTCTTTCCCCTTTTTTGGTGGGTCTCCAGTGAATTCATAGGTACTCTTTGGAGTACTCTCTTGTAAAGGTGTAACGTGGGTCAGCAATTTCTTTCTGTAAACGTCCAGACAGGAAATACTTCAGGCTGTGCAGGCTGTGCAGGCTACGCAGTCTCGGCTGCTGAAGCACGACTGCAGTTATGACAGGTAAGCAAACGAGCATGGCCGTGTCCTGATACACACTGACCTATGGATACTGCAATTTGAATTTCATCTAAGTTTTACATAGTACATAATATCTTTCTTCTATTCAATATTTTAAACATTATTTTTAACTTTATTTATTTATTTATTTTAATTTGACCAGAGAGGGACAGAGTGACAGAGGGACTGAGTGAGAGCGACAGAGGGACAGAGTGAGAGAGAGAGAGAGATGGAAAGTGAGAAAGTGAGCCACCAGGTCTGGGACTCGAATTGCGGTTGGCCATGTGGGAGTCCAGTGCCCTTAACTACCATGCCACCTGCCAGCCCCTATTCAATTTCTTTTAACTGTTTAAAATGTAAAATTTATTCTTACCTCATGGATCATACAAAACAGGTGGCAGGCTGGATCTGGCCTACAGGTGGTAGCTCACTGACCTCTGACTTAAAAGATTTTTTCCCCAGGTCAGTTTTGAACCAGACTATTCTACCAAATCCATTGGTTAGAAATCAGTTATGGAGGGGACCAGCAGGTGGTGTGGTGATTAAGACGCTGGACAGTCCCACATGGCCGACCACGGTTTGAGTCCTGGACCTGGTGGCTTGCTTTCATTCTCTTTTTCTCTCTGTGTCTCTCTCTGGTCAAATTAAAATAAATGAATGAATAAATAAAATTAAAAATAAACAATAAAAAAAAAAAGAAATCAATTATGGAGAGGACCAACAGTTGGTGTAATGGCTATGTCGCTGTAGTCAACTGCTCCCATGTAGTCAACTGCAGTTCGAGTCTTGGACCCGGTGGCTTAAACTCACGCCAGGAGTGTGTGTATGCGTGCTCAAGGTCCCGAGAGGAGAATGGAGGAGAAGGGATTGCGGCGTGGCCATCCCCTCTGGGGGGTGATTTCTTGCTTTCTGTCTCTCTGTCTCTCTCTGTCTTTCTGGTGAGCACGCGTGCCCTATAGCAAAAACCTCTCCAAAAAAATAAAGAAAAAAGAAATCAGTTATGGAGACCAGCAGATGGCATAATGGTTACATCAATGGACTCCCTTGTCAACAACTGTGGTTCGAGTCCTGAACCTGGCGACTTAAAACTCATGCCAGGCATGCATGTGTGTGCCCAAGATCCCAAGAAGAGAATGGAGGAGAAGGGATTGTGACTTGACCATCCTCCCAGGAGGGTAGTTTCTTACTTTCTGTCTCTCTGTTTCTCCAGCAAGTACACATGCCTATAGCAAAAATCTCTCTCAAAAAAAAAAAAAAAAAAAAAAAGAAAAGAGAGAGAGAGAGAGAGAAAGAAATCAGTTATGGGACCGCAGATGGCATAGTGGTTATGTTGCTGGACTCCCAAATGGCAATTGCAGTTCAATTCCTGGACCCAGCAGCTTAAAACTTACATTGGGCTCGTGTGCGTGCATGCTCAAAATCTTTTTTTAAAGATTATTTTATTTAATTTTTATTTGTTCATTCATTTATTTTAATTTGACCAGAGAGCGAGAGACAGAGAAAGTGAGAAAGCAAGCCACCAGGTCTAGGACTTGAACTGTGGTCAGCCATGTGGGAGTGACCAGCACCTTAACCACCATGCCACCTACTGGTCCCAATGCTCAAAATCTTAAGAGGTGAATGGAGTAGAAGGGATTGCAGTATGGCTGCCCCCCCCCAGGGGGTGCTATCTTACTCTCCCTGTTTCTTTCTTGCTCTCCATCTCTCTTCAGTGAGTGTACATGCCCTATAGCAGATTAAAAATAAATAAATGAGTAAATACAGTTATCTTTTCTCTTGTAGAAGAAAAATTCTTCCAAGGATGGTCTCCCACTCAGAGTTGAGGAAACTGTTCTGTTCAGCGGATGCAGTATGTTTTGATGTTGACAGCACGGTCATCAGGGAAGAAGGAATTGATGAGCTGGCCAAATTCTGTGGAGTTGAGGATGCTGTGTCGGAAATGTAGGAACAGTATTTATTCATCTTGTGAAATGATAAAGAATTTCAAAAGAGAGTGACTATTTTGGATGAAGTACTACACCAGAGCCACAATTCTTTTTTTTTTTTAAAATTATTTGATTTAACTTTATTTATCCATTTATTTATTTATTTCACTTTGACCAGAGAGGGACAGTGCGAGAGAGCGAGAAGGCAAGCTGCCAGGACTGGGACTCAAACCATGGTCGACAATGTGGGAGTCCAGTGCCCTCAACTACCATGCCACCTGCCAGCCCCCACAATTTCTAGAACTTTAGTTTAGTTCCTGGCTGTGAAACATGGCAGTAGACTTTTTCTTCTCTCCTGTAGGGCCAAATTTGGTAGTATACATTATCCATTCACTCATTTATACAAAAATATATGGAAAAAAAATAATTCCTGGCAAATAAGTCTGGATAAGACACATTCTTAGCTCATTCAGGGGAACAATGGCCGTAACTAAACAAACATGGTGCCCGGAGGCCCCCAAGTGTCCTGTGCCCTGTGCCCTGTGTCGTGGTTGGAGATGTGGTCTTAGAGGCTCACTGGAAAGCTAGTTCTGGGTCAGTCTCTGCAGATCCTCGCCCAGCCCTCCCTCCCTCCCACCTTCCCTGCTTTGCAGCGCCGGCACCTTCCTCTGCAAGGGCCCCAGGCACCTGGTCGTGGACCACTTCTTGTGCAGCAGCATTTGATAGAAGAATGTCCAGCTGTTGGTTTCTTTTTTCGTTTATAGAAGCTTGCAGCTTCCAAGGAAAGCATCTGCGGGCAGCACGTGTGGTTTTCTCAGCTCACCAGTGTGTGTGCGGATGTGAAGAATGTGACCCCATAATATTAATGTGATTTTCTTAAAAGCATTATTTATTTAATTTGATTTATTCATTCAGTTTATTTATTTATTTATTTATTGAGAGGTTTTCGCTATAGAGCACGTGCGCTTGCCAGACAGACAGAGAGAGACATAGAGACAGAAAGCGAGAAATCACCCCCCAGGGAGGATGGTCACGCTGCAATCCCTTCTCCTCCATTCTCCTCTCGGGATCTTGGGCACACATGCACACGCGCCCGGCGTGAGTTCTAAACCACCGGGTCCAGGACGTGAACCACAGTTGACTACATGGGAGTCCAGCGACATAGCCATTATACTAACTGCTGGTTCCCTCATTCATTTATTTTAATTTGACCAGAGAGAGACAAAGAGAGAAAGAGAGAGAAAGGGAAAGTGAGAAAGCAAGCCACCAGGTCCGGGACTCAAACTGTGGCCGGCCATGTGGGAATGTCCAGTGCCTTAAACACCATGCCACCTGCTGTTCCCACATTAATGTGATTCTCAAGCAAACCGTCCATAGTTTATTCCCAGGTCTTGCTCCCATAGGAACATACTGTGTCTGTTGTACGGGGAGGAGTGGGAGGGTAGGGAAGGGGGCGGGGAGGAGTTGTCCTGGCAGCACCTTCCTCATGGTGGATGTTGTGAGAACCTAGGGCAGTGAGGTGCTTAATGTCAAGGACAGCTGACATGGCTGCCTGATTGCTGGGTCTTTCTTCTAGGACACGGCGAGCCATGGGTGGGGCAGTGCCTTTCAAAGCTGCTCTCACAGAGCGCTTAGCACTGATCCAGCCCTCCAGGGAACAGGTGCAAAGGCTCATAGCAGAGCACCCCCCACACCTGACCCCCGGCATAAGGTAAGAGGAACCCCAGTTTTGGGTACACTGTTGTCTGTCAGCACTGGTTTTGGGGGGCACACCCTTCTGAAAATATCTCACTATTTAGAGCTCCCTTTTGTGTGGTTCTTTTGACACTTAGACATGATCTTGTTTGGCTGGTTGTGTCTTCCTGTGACTGCACCCCACTCTCCCTGGGGAAAGTCTGAACTTTCCGTGTGTTTCATCTTGTGCTTTTCTGGGTTCCTTGGACAGAGCAGGATCATGGAACGGTCAATCACCACCCGTTCATTTCTTTTTTTTTTTTTTTAATTAAATTTTTTTAAGAGGGACCAGCAGTTAGCGTAATAGCTATGTCGCTGGACTCCAACGTAGTCGACCGCGGTTCGTGTCCCGGACCCAGTGGCTTAAACTCACGCTGGGTGCGTGTGCGTGCATGCCCAAGATCCCAAGAGGAGAATGGAGAAGAAGGGATTGCGGTGTGGCCATCCCCCCTGGGGGGTGATTTCTTGCTTTCTTTCTCTCTGTCTTTCTCTCTCTGTCTGGCGAGCGCACGCGCCCTATAGTAAAAACCTCTAAAAAAATTTTTTTTAAGAATAATTTATTATCATTATTTTCCAGTTTTGACCAGAGAGTCAGCCCTGCAACTCATTCATTTCTATAAATATAGTTTGAGGGGCCAGCAGTTGGCATGGTAGTTAAAGGCTCTGGATTCCCAAATGACCCACCACAGTTAGAGTCTTGGACCCAGCAGCTTGAAAATCACACTGGGCATATGTGCGTGTGTGCCCAAAATCCCAAGAGGAGAATGGAGGAGAAGGAATTATGCCATGATCATCCCTCAGGGGGGTGATTTCTCTCTCTCTCTCAGTCTCTGTCTCTCTCCAGTGAGTGCATGTGCCTTTTGGCAAAAACCTAAAAAAATTAAAAAGTGTGCCTGCCTATATATGAAAAAAATATATATATAATGTTAATTCCACAGGGAATATACCTGTACCATGGGCAAATAAATACATTCAGGAGAAAAATATATATTCTAGTTTCCTTTCTTTCTCACATTTCTTTTTTTCTCTTTTGCATTAATTGTCATTTCATTTGATATATGTTTTATTTTGCAGGGAGCTGGTAAGTCGTCTACAAGAGCGAAATGTTCAGGTTTTCCTAATATCTGGTGGCTTTAGGAGCATTGTAGAACATGTAGCTTCAAAGCTCAATATCCCAACAACCAATGTGTTTGCCAATAGGCTGAAATTCTACTTCAATGGTAAGACTTCGACGGGACCACGTTTCCTCGCTTAGCAGTTCCATTAGTCCATAGCCAGGTGGTGTCTGTGGAATGCAGCTTGTGCTGGATGGTGTCAGTTACATACTGAGATGAGCAGCTCCGATGTCTTGCCCTTTGCAACATAGACTTAGGTCATCATCTGTCCTCACTTTAATCCTCATGTTGTCACCTATCTGCATTTAGCAAAATGATCATTTCTACAGAGTCCAAATGACCTATTTTGTCATCATTGTATTTTAATTTGATATAAACTCTTAGGTATTTGGAGCAATTTAGACTCAAAAAGGAGAGTTTTATTAATGGGTTACTTTGGGTTAGTCTCCAGGTCCCTCTCTGGACAATCACAGAGTCACAGAAGTAAATTTGTATCATTTCAAGAGAGCTCCGGTTAAGTTAAGGGATATTCTTCAAACCAAAAAATATTTAAAATAAAAAATGTGGGGCCACCAGGTGGCATAATGGTTAAGGCACTGGACTCCCATGTGACTGACTGCAGTTTGAGTCCCAGACCTAGCAGCTTGAAACTCATGCTGGGAGTGTGCACCCAAAATTCAGAGGGGGGAATGGAGGAGAAGGAATTACAGTGTGGCCTTCCCTCCTGGAGAGTGATTTCTTACTTTCTCTGTCTCTCTGGTGAGCACACATGCCCTATAGTGAAAATTTCTCTCTCTCAAAAAAAATAAAAAGAAAGAAAGAAAGAAAGAAGATGGTTTTGAAGGTTTATAGAGATTATTGAAAATGTAGAAAAGAAGTGTGGTAATAACTGTAAGAATAGAAATAGTTATTGAAAATGATGAAGTCTCTAAAGTGAAATTATATATATTAATGTTTTAAATTTTATATATTATTATTTCATGGTGTTCTACTCCCTCCTCAGGGTTGGATAATTACTACACTGGAAGCTTAGGGGTTATAACTAATTCACCCCACAGGGTTTTGAATTTTTTAGAATTATTTTATTTTTAACTTTCTTTCTTTATTTATTTTAAATTTTACCAGAAAGGGACAGAGAGAGAGAGACAGTGAGAAAGTAAGCCGCCAGGTCCGGTACTCAAATTGTAGTCGGTGATGTGGGAGTTCAGCCCTCTTACCACCAAGCCCCCTGCCAGCCCCAACTCACAGAGTTTATGACCTAATAAAGCCACCTCTTCAAGGGGTATTTATAATTTAAAAGGAAAGCTTATTATTATTTTTAATTGCCAGAGGGTACATGTACTCGCCAGAGAGAGACAGAAAGGGAGAGGGAATAAGCACCCCTAGTGGGGTGTGGTCATGTGGCAGTCCCTTCTCCTTCATTTCTCTATCCTGTCAGGATCCTGGGCAGGCATGCACATATGCCCAGTGAGTTTTTTTCTTTTCTTTTCTTTTTTTTTAAAGAGATTTTTGCTAAAAGGTATACACATTTGTCAGAGAAACAGAAAGCAAGGAGTCACCCCACAGTGGGGATGGCCACACCTCAGTCTCTCCTCCTCCATTCTCCTCTCAGGATTTTGGCATACATACACAGACACCCAGCATGAGTTTTAAGCCGCCAGGTCTGGGATGCGAACTATGGCCAACCACATGGAGTCCTGTGTCTTAACCACTATGCCACCTGCTGGCCCCAGTCCAGCAACTTTTTCAAGCTACCAAGGACTCAAGCCATGGTCAGCCATGTGGGATGTGACTCCCTTAACTACCAGGCCATGGGTCCAGCCCAGCAAAGCTTATTTATTCTGAAGAAAGGGTATGGAATTCCAGGCTGAGTGATTTACTGAGGGCTACTTTTAACCTTCTCAGGTGCATTTAAGTGAGGTTGTCATCTGTGCAAAGAGTTGGCCATATTAATACACTTTTATGGATTGTTAACATTGTTTTAAACTTTTTTAAAGGTGAATATGCAGGTTTTGATGAGACACAGCCAACAGCTGAATCTGGTGGGAAAGGAAAAGTTATTAAATTTTTAAAGGAAAAATTTCATTTTAAGAAAATAGTCATGATTGGAGATGGAGCTACAGACATGGAAGCCTGCCCTCCTGCTGTATGTATTATGTGTACTCATTTTTTTTCAGGTTATATTTCAGTATTAAACAGCTGATTTAGAACTACATAAAATTTGCAACAGAAGTCAAACAAAAGTAGCTAAGGGGGTTGGACAGTGGGGCAGTGGTAGAGCATGATGCTCTTCGAGGAAGATCCAAATAGAAAGGTTCCAGGTTTGTGTCCAGAGACCTCCCTGAGCACGCTAGACATGGGGGTGCCCATGCTCTGGGGCTGGCTGGGGCTGGCTGGGGCTGAGGGTGGATTGCGGCATCGGGACCCTGCTGTGAATGCCTTTTTCTCTCTGCCTCTCGCTTGTGGAAGAAGGAAATAACCTAGGGGGAAAAACAGCTAAGTATCCTTATAAAGTTTTTAAAAAAGAAACTAAAACAAATTCAGTCTCATTATGTCGGTTGATATTTTGCAAATCCAGTAAAAGTTATGAATAAATAACTTTTTTTTCTTTCTCCTGGAGGCATGTGCACTTGCCAGAGTGAGAAAGAGAGAGAGAGAGTGAAAGAAAAAAAACACCCCGCAGTAGGGTGTGATCATTCTACAGACTTCCATTATTTCATCCCATTTTCAAGCCACTGGGGTCAGGATTCAAACTGTGATTGGCTGTTTGGGATCCAGTTCCTTTAACCATTTTGAACTATGGAACGAGCCCTGAAAATCTTTTAAAACTTGTCCCTGTAGTTTGGCCACCACCTCTTAGCCCAGGAAGATTTGGTTTCATGTCCCCAAATAATATTATAAACAACTCATAACTAAATCAAGATTTTTCTAAAAGAATTATTTTATTTAATTTCCTTTCTTCCTTCCTTCCTTCCTCACTCTCTTTCTTTCTTTCTTTCCTACCAGAGAGGGACAGAGTGAGAGCGAGAGATAGAGAAAGTGAGAAAACAAGCCACCAGGTCCAGGACTCGAACCACAGTTGGCCATGTGGAAATCCAGTGCCCTTAACCACCACACCATGTGCTGGCCCCACTAAATCAAGATTTAAAAAAAAAAAAATTTATTTTTATTCATTGTCATTAATTAATTAATTATTTTTGAAATTGACCAGAGAGAGACAGAGAGAAGGAAAGTGAGAAAGCAAGCTGCCAGGTCTGTGACTTGAACCATAGTCAGCCATGTGGGAGTCCAGCTGCCTTAACTACCACACCACCTGCTAGCCCCCTAAATCAAGATTTAATGTAATTTTATACTTTATATTCTATTCCCTCATACATTATTTTATTTAATCTTCATAACATCCTAGGGCAGTAAAATATTATCTTCTTTTATCCGATGGTGAACTGAGACTTATGAAGGAGAGAGAGAGAGAAAGCAAACCTCCAGGTTCGGGATTCAAACCACAATGGTCATGGGAGTCCAGCACCCTTAACCACCATGCCACCTGCCGACCCCCTGAATTAATGTTTTCTGAGATGAGTGGGTTTTATTTTTATACCTATGTTAAACCTACTGCAGGACTGGCAGGTGGTATGGTGGTGGATTCCCACATGGCCAAGCGCGGTTTGAGTTCCAGACCTGGCAGCTTGCTTTCTCACTTTCTCTCTCTCTCTTGTCTTTCTCTGGTCAAATTGAAATAAACAAACGAATAAATAAATAAATAAATGTAAATAAAATAATTATTTTTAAAAATAAAACCTACTGCAAGAAACGAATGGTGTGTGAGAAAGTGGCCTGAATTTCCAGTGAGCCCATTCTCGTAGGTCTTTGGCTTTATCATGCCATTCTTTCTTAAGCAAAACTGAACCAAAAATGTTATACTGAACTTTTTATCCCCTGGTTTCCTGAGACCTAAAAATGGTGACTGTCTTGGTAAATGATTAATCCAAAATGGCTAAAGAATCTTTTTGGGTCCTTTTAACATTGCTTGAGTCAGTTCAAAATAATACACGCTTAGATGAGGCATACCCTCCGCTGGGCTGGCCAAGCGTGAACGTGGGCTAGTTTAATGAGGACTGTGCAGAAAGCCAGAGTGGTCAGGGAGCTCCCAGTTTCACTGTCCAGACATGACAGAATGAAAAATTCCAGAGGACCCTACCAGGCAGAGGGGACAGCCCGAGCCAAGAGAAAGTGTTGTGTAGCTGTGTAGCTCTCACAGGCGGCCAGAGTATGACGGTGACCCAGAGGGAGATTGGCTGCTGCCAAGGGAAGGTCTCGCAGAACTCAGGAGAGGAAGCTTTCAGAGCAGAGGGGGCATGCGCTTGCCCCAGTCCAGGCCGTGGGCACACACGGGGCTTCCTGTGAGCAAACGCTGGAGACGCTACGTGTGAGCAGTGGCGCTTTGGTGTTATCTTTAGGTCCTGGGAAGCCGTGAGGCTACTGGACAGAGGAATGAGTCAGGGTAGGACAGGGGCTGGCATGTGGAAAGCGTTACCATGGAGGCGGACAGATCCGTTAGGGTAAATTCAACTGGAAGGTAAGAACCTAGTTGTCTTTTCCTCACGTGTGATGCGAAAATAAAAGTGAAAGGAAAGCGCAAAGGAAAAAGTTTTGTACTTCCAGATTAGTGTGTGTCATGTCCATATGTTGCAGGAAAAAAAGTGCTATGTTTGAAAAATTATGTATTTTATTTATTTATTTATTTTAATTTGACCAGAGAGGGACAGAATGAGAGAGAGAAAGAGAGAGAGAGAAAGTGAGAAAGCCAGCCGCCAGGTCTGGGACCTGACCCATGGTCAGCCATGTGGAAGTCCAGTGCCCTTATAACCACCATGCCACCTGCCAGCCTCCCGGAATGCTATTTTAAAAGATCAGTGAATAGGACCAGCAGATAGCATGATGGTTATGTCACTGGACTCCCAAATAGTCAACCGCGGTTCGAGTCCTGGACCCCGAGGCTTAAAACTCACATGGGGCGTGTGCGCGTGCGTGCCCAAGATCCCAGGAGGAGATGGAGGAGAAGAATCTGCAGTGTGGTCATCCCCTCGAGGGGATGATTTCTTGCTTTCTGTCTCTCTGGTGAGTACAGGCGCCCGATAGCAAAAGTCTCTCTTTAAAAAAATAATAATAAAGAACATTGACTAAATAAAGGCATCACTTAGTAGAATTAAACAACCAACCCATGTATTTGACTGCGGTTCGAGTCCCGGACCCGGTGGCTTAAACTCACGCCGGGCGCGTGTGCGTCCATGCCCAAGATCCCGAGAGGAAAATGAAGGAGAAGGGATTGCAGCATGGCCATCCCCCCTGGGGGGTGATTTCTCGCTTTCTGTCTCTCTTTCTCTCTCTGTCTTTCTGGCGAGCGCACGGGCCCTATAGCAAAAACCTCTCCAAAAAAAGAAGAAAAAAAAAAAGAACCAACATAACTATAAACAATTTTAACTATAAAGAGTGGAATGCTGCTAACAGATCTCCTTCAACCCAGAATAATAAAGTCCGGCCTGTTTCTTCTGCACACACCAAGACTTTGCGTCTCCTGGGAGGGAGTGCCCGAGGTAGTCGAGGCAAGGGTCAGGACTGGCTGGTCTGATCCCCGGTCCAGGAAGGGCACTGCAGGCTTCTCTTTGATTTTCTCTGCCTTGAAATGAGAGGCATGAAGTACTTGCCATCTGGTTTAGAACTCAGAACACTTACCTCCTGATGTGATTTCACCTCTGTAAGCATTTGTCTTGGTTTTGAGAGGGCAAAGACCATTGTCTCCTTCTCCCAGAGCCTCTGCACTTAATTTAAATAAATAAATTAAATCATTTTTTTTAAAAAAAGGGGGCAAGCAGGTGGCATGGTGGTTAAGGGTGCTGGACTCCCACATGGCCAACAGTGGTTCAAATCCTGGACCTGGCGACTTGCTTTCTCATTTTCTCACTTCCCCCTGCCCCTTTCATTCTGCCCCTCTGGTCAAATTAAAATAAATAAATAAAGTTAAACAAAATAAATTTTTTTTGAGAGGTTTTTGCTATAGGGCGCGTGTGTTCTCCAGACAGACAGAGAGAGACAGAGAGACAAAAAGCGAGAAATCACCCCCCAGGGAGTATGGCCACGCCGCAATCCCTTCTCCTCCATTCTCCTCTCGGGATCTTGGGAACGCATGCACACGCGCCCGGCGTGAGTTTTAAGCCACCAGGTCCGGGACGCGAACTGCGGTCGGCCACGTGGGAGTCCAGCGACATAGCCATTACGCTAACTGCTGGTCCCAGCAGAAAGTTTATTCTGTCAATACTGACTGCCTAGGATAGGGCTGCATTTTTTTTTTTTTTTTAACTATTTCTCTTTTTGCTCCTTAGGATGTTTTTATTGGTTTTGGAGGAAATGTGATCAGGCAACAAGTAAAGGACAACGCCGAATGGTATATCACCGATTTTATAGAGCTTTTGGGAGAACTGGAAGAATAGTATCAACTTTTACGTAGCTCCTGACAACTTCAGATTAATTTGTCAAAGTTATGCAGATTGTGACAACTCGATCTATCAAGTTGCTATCGATTAGCTGTACTTTAAAGCAGGCTAGTTAGGATTCCTAGACAATGACCTCTTTTTACTGTGGTCCCAGTAATATGATCGTTAATTACTTGGAGAGTTTTATCACCTGAAATCTTGATGTCTATTCCTAGTAATGTTTCCTTTGAAGGCTTTTAAAAGTGGATAATAAATTAAACACCTTCACCACTGGATTTGGCAGCCTTAAGTGAACACTGGTTTTCCCTTTGTCTGTAAATGAAAGTTTATCTGTGCATCAGGACGGATTTGTGGAATCGCCGATTCTGCCTTCTATGTATTTCAACACCCAGCATTTCAGTACTGTCGTGCCCACGTAGGAACAGCCTCCAGGCAGGAGCGGAGCTGAGCCTCCCCCCGTGTGAGAGCCGGGCACAGGCACACCACTGGCACGCTTCGCAACCCCACCTCCTGCCCCTGCCCCTGCCCCGCCATCTGAAACCCTGAGACGGAGGGGTGGAAGGTCTCTTTTCCCTCTTAGAATTTGTCATGGGACCAGGAGGTGGCAGGGTGGTTCGGTGCTAGATTCCCACGTGACCGATTGCAGTTTAAGTCTCGGACCTGGCAGCTTGCTTTCTCACTTTCTCTTTCTCTCTGTCTGGTCAAATGAAAAAATAATAACAAAAATTAAATAAATAACTCTTAAAATAATTTGTCATATGGAATATTGCAGTGTTATTTGTAAAAAATAACAATGTTAGGGACCAGGGTGTAATGGAATGGCTATGTCGCTGGACTCCCATGTGGTTGGCTGCAGTTTGAGTCCTGGACTCGGTGGCTTAAAGTCACACCGGGCGCATGTGCGTGCATGCCCAAGATCCCAAGAGGAGAATGGAGGAGAAGGGATTGCGGCGTGGCCGTCCCCTGGGTCCCCTGGGGGGTGATTTCTTGCTGTCTGTCTCTCTTTCGTTCTGGCGAGCTCACGAACGGTATAGTAAAAACCTCTCCAAATAAATAAATAACAATGTTGAGCCAGACTGTGGCATGGTGGCAAAGGAAATTGGATCGCACATGGCCAACTGTATGGTTCAAGTCCCAGACCCAGCAGCTTAAAAAAGAAATTACTGAGTGTGGCCAGCAGATGGCGTAGCGGTTACAGCACTGGACTCCTATGTGGCCAACCTCAGTCTGAATCCGGACCCAGTGGCTTGAAACTCATTCTAGGCGTGTGTGCCCGAGATCCTAGGAAGAGAATGGAGAAGGGACTGTGGTGTGGCCATCCCCCCAGGAGGGGTAGTGATTTCTCATTTTTCTTCTTACTGTCTCTGTCTCTGGCCAGTGCACGCACCATAAGGCAAAAACCTGTGGAGACCAGAAGATGGAATAGTGGTTATGTCACTGGATTCCCACATGGCCGACTGCGGTTTGAGTCTTGGACCCGGTGACTTCAAAATCAGGCTGGGTGCGTGTGGATGTGTGCCTAAGGTCCCAGGAGAATGGGGGAGAAGGAATTGTGGTGTGGCCATCTCCCCTGGGGGGTGATTTCTCCTTCCCCTCTCACTGTGTCTCTGTCTCTCTCTCTCCTGTGAGCACACACGGCCTAAGGCAAACCTCTAAAAAAAAAAAAAAGTACTGGGTGTGTGTGCCCAAAATCCCAAAAGGAGAAATGGAGAAGGGATTGTCACTTGACTATCTGAAACCCTGAGACAGAGGGGTAGATGATCTCTTACCTCTTTACATCCCCCATTGGGGGTGCTTTCTCCCTCTCCCTCTTTCTCTTTTTCCGGCTAGCACAAGCACCCTCTAGCAAGTTAAAAAAAGAGAGAGAGAGAGAAGAAACCTTAAACAAAGATACCTTAAAAGTGAATACAAGAAAGTCACATGAAGTGAAAGAAATATAAACGAGTTCTACTAATAACAAAGGAAAATCAACACTGTCCCCTAAGTGCATTAAGAGCAGTACTTCTAGCAGTGTGACAGCCATTTCTTTTTTAGAGATGATTTGGAAAGACCTGAAAGCCAGGTTATTTTGAGCGGTGCCAAGCAAGGGAAATCTCAGAACACGCTTCCAAAGTGTGCCATTACACACTGTCCCTGCTGGGAGGAGGGTGGAGACACGGGCTTAGGCGGAGGCGTGTTGCAGATGTGGTGGCAAATTAGGCAGAGAAGGCCATCAGGTTTGGATACTGGAAATTATTAAAAAAACTTAAAATCGAACCCAATCAAATAATTAGCCAGATAATCAAATCAGATGAGTCCAGTTTCCTTCAGTTTCCGTAGAAGCGACATGAAGTAGGTTTGGCAACATATAAATGAGTCCACAGACAATGCTGCTGTTGTTTCACAGTCATGAATGCTTGCTGGCAACTCTCCTGGAAGCTGCTGTTTTGCACTTTGAGCAGTGCCGAGCTAGCTGGGGCGGGACCAGGCAAGCCAGGTCTGTGAGGAGAGTGAGGAACTGCCCAGCGTTCACAGCCAGCCAGTGTGCATGAGCCGGCTTGCCCTCCACGGGTGGGTGGGAGCACTGAGGATCTCGTGGCCCCCATTGGTTCCCACTGCCTCGCCCTCAGAGCCTGTCGTTCACAGGGGGAGGGCGTGATTAGCAGGTGGACACTGAATTTGGCTCAGAGGAGTCGGATCCACTGAGATCCACTGAGAAATCATGATGCACACATGGAACCTTTTATCTAATCCACAGCCCCTCCCCGGCCTCCAGGCTGCCAGGCTTTCAGCAAACTGCCCCCGAGCAGCATGGCAAGACAATCCCTTCTTTGTTGTGTTGCAAGAGTGAGTTTGAAACAGCAAGAACTGCACTAACCTCTTTCATGCTTGTCTAATTCTGGACTCAACTGCAAACAACTACAGAATAGTTAGTTCTCCCAGGGCTTATGTGCAGGGATACATGAGGATGGATTAGAACTTGGTGGCTGTGTTATGTGGCTTCTCGCCCTTGTGAAAACGTTAAGAATGGGTATCATGGGACCAGCAGATGGCTTAACAGTTATGTTGCTGGGCCCCCCACCCCATGTACTTGACCAGGGTTCGAGTTCCAGACCTGGCCACTCATGCCTGCCAGGTGCGTGTGCATGCATGCCCACATCCTGAGAGGAGAAAGGAGAAGGGATTGCAGGGTGGCCATCCCCCAAGGGATGATTTCTCCCTTTGTTTCTCTGTCTCTCCAGCAAGCCCATGCGTCCTATACCAAAAACCTCCTAAAAAAAAAAAGAAAAAGAATTGGGATCATAAAGAATTGAAATTTGGGGGCCAGCAGGTGGCGTGGTGGTTAAGGTTCTGGACTCCCACATGGACAACCATGGTTCTAGTCCTGGATTCGTAGCTTGAAAAGCACACTGGGCAGGGCAGTTCATTTTCTGGGACCCCCTCCTTTCTTCTTGGGAGTTTTCCTTCCCTCTCCTTCAATAAACTTTCCACTTTCCCTTCTTTGTGCCCACATCCCTAATTCTACCTGAGTGTGAGACAAGAACCCGTGCCCTGTTGTGGGTGCTGGGCCTGGTCACCCCTGTACCCCTGCATTCCTGTATAATATTTTGGTGCACTGGCTAGGAATCCATATTGACTCCCCTTTTTCACATTGGAAAGGCCCCACCACATTCTGGGAAGATGATAATGTTTTTTTGACCTAAAGCTTCTAGACAAAGAATCTGACCTTAGCACCCATTCCAAAATTAGGAGAATAACTGGACCCATCCAGTTATTGGGCCTCTGCCCATCACCATGAGGAGAACAAATGCACAAGACCTACCTTGAACAAGTCTGGACTAAACCCTTCCTGCACAAAATAAAAACCCCTCACCTCAGTTCTTCCTCAGCAACCCATTTCCCCTTCTTGGAGGCTCTGTTTTTTTCTTCCCTCTCCTTCAATAAACTCTCTGCTTCTGCCCTCAAAAAAAAATTTATTTGTGTTGTTATTTATTTGCTAGAGGGTACATGCACTTGCTGGAGAGAGACGGGGAGAATGCAACCGCCATGCTGCAATCACTTTTTCATTTTTCTTCTTTTTTTTTTTAGATTTTATTTATTTGTTCATTTATTTTAATTTGGCCATAGACACATACAGAGAGACAGGGGGAGAGAGAGAGAGAGAGAGAGAGAGAGAGAAAGCAAACCAAACCACTAGGTCCAGGACTTGAACCATGGTCAGCCACATGGGATTATCCAGCCCCTTAACCACCATGCTACCTGCTGGTCCCCTACTTCATTTTTCTATCCTGTTGGGATTTTGGTCATGTACTGTTTTTCTTTCTTCTTTTAACTTTTTTGCCAGAGGGCATGTACAATTGATGGAAAGAGAAACAGAGAGAAGGAAAGTGAGAAGTTCCCTCCCCCACCCCAGGAGGATTGCTGCACTGCAGTCCTTGCTCTTCCATTCTCTCAGGATTTTGGGCTTGCACGCACATGCACCTGGTGTGTTTTTCAAGCCGCTAGGTCTGGACTCGAACCGCAGAGTCTGCCATGTGAGATCTAGTGCCTAAACCACCACACCACCTGCTGGCCCACACATCCTATTTTTCAAACCACTGGGACAGAATTGAAACCACTTGGTCAGTCATGTAGGATCAAGCTCCCTTAACCACCAGGCCACAGGCCCACCCCCACAAAGCTTTTATATGAGAAAAAAAAAAAAAGATGACCTTGTGCCCTTCACACCCTCTCCTCACCCCACTGTCCCGTTTTAATGATTCTTTTGTCTCTTCTACTAGAGGCAGGTGGAGGCTGGCATTTCTCCCAGACACCTACGAAGGCCCACCCAGCTGCCACTCCTGAGAGCAGGGACAGGAAGTGAGCAGGAGATTCCAGGGGGTCAAGGGCTGACCTCAGTAAGTGATGGCACAAGCATGGTTATACTTCTCTGGCCCTCGGAATCTTTATGGTCTGGCTCAGAAAACTGGGGAGTGAGCTGCCCAAGTCACGCTACCTCTTTTCCTATTTGCAAGGTGCTTCCACGTGTTTCCTCATGTGATTCCTACAACCCTGAGGTCAGCAGTATAGACGTTGCTGACCTCTTTGTAACAGAGGGGAAACATGCTCACCAAAGTTAATGACTGCTACAAGGTCAGGCCCCCTTCAGAGCCGGAAGCCAGGCCAATGATTTCCACAGTATTCTTTATCTTGTGCATTAGAAGAGTTAACAATTTACTGGGGTCAGGAGCAACCACCGCAAGCCAATACTTTTTTTTTTTTTTGGGAATTTTTTTATAAGGTTTTTTTTTTTTTGAGAATTTTATTATAGGGTGCGTGCACTCACCAGAAAGAGACAGAAAGAGAGAAATCACCCCCAAGGGTGAGATAGAAAGTGAGAAATCACCCCCGGGGGTGGGGGGCATGGCCATGTCGCAATCCCTTCTCAGGATTTTGGGCACGGGAACATATGCCTGGCATGTTTCAAGCTGCTGGGTCTGGGACTTGAACCGTGGTCGACTACATGGAAGTCCAGCAACATAACCATTATGCCATCTGCTGGTCCCAAGCCAATAACTTATTAACACCATGAACACAAGTATGAGCAATACTGCAATAGATGAGACATTTTACGCCCCAGGACGAAAGACCTGTTTGCAAAAATCCAAGTGTTACTCACTTGACGGTCACTAAGCTCTGGAAAAAGTAGTGGGATCCAGCTGCCTTAACTGCCAGGGCATGGGCTGGCCCAATATTCGTATTTTTTTTCTAGAGAGAGATTTTTGCTATAGGGCATGTGTGCTCATCAGAGAGACAGAGAGCAAGAAGTCACCCCCCTCAGGGAGATGGCCACACCACAACCCCTTCTTCGCTGTTCTTCTCTCAGGATTCTGGGCACACACACACACACTTGCCCGGCGTGTTTCAAGTCTTCAGGTCCAAGACTTGAACTGCAGTCAGCCATGTGGGAGTCTACTGATGTAACCACTATGCCATTTGTTGGCCCTCAACGTTTGTATTTTAATTGCCACTCTCCTTTCTCAGGTGGCAAGCTTCACAAGGGTGGGGATCATGTTTTGTTCATGATGGTTCTTCGAGTGCCTGATGCTTGGCATCAGATCGAAAAGGGGCTCAGTATGTGATGAACTGAAAACTAAAGCCCAGTGAGTCAGGCTCCTCTTGCTGTACAGTGACTTAGTTAAGACATTCTTACTCCAAGGACACTACTCCAGAGGGTCAGATGATTGCTGTTTTACTGACCCGAAATATTCTAAGAAAGCAAGATAAAAAGAAGCAAATTACTCTAAATAGAATTACCCTAGGAAAGCAAGACAAAAAGAAACAAATTACTCCTACAACAGCATTCTTGCACATTCTATTGGCACATGGACCCTGGTGCTTGCCAGATACCTAAAGGCCTGTGGGGGCAGACTGGGTAGGTGGGGTGATGTGCCGAGCCCTTGAGCCCAGAGAGTGACAGAATGTTCCTGACTTCTGCAGGATTCATTTTATCCACAACCCCACACTATCTGTAAATGAAATCTCCCTGTTCCTAGCAACTCTTTTGCAGTTCTGAAGGCTAGATTACTTTTACTAGTAATGCCAGTTTGACCATTTTTCTTTTTCTATTTTTTTAAGAATTATTTTATTTAACTTTCTTTTTCAATTTGATGAGAGAGAGAGAGAGAGCAAGCAAGCTGCCAGGGCCGGGACTTGAACCATAGTCAGCCATGTGGGAGTCCAGCATCCTTACCACCATGCCACCTGCTGGCCCCCATTTTTCTTTAAGTAGTTTAGAAAGTATTTCATATAAACATTTCTTTCATCCAGTACATCCTGATGTGAGCTGAGCATCCAATCTGTGCCAGGCACCATGCTAGGCTTGGTAAGGAGGGCAAGGATGACAACCCTCATTTATTAGTTCAGAGTCTAGTAAGGATTCAGATGAGGGAGGAAATTGCCATTTTCACAAAACCCCACAAAGTTAGAATGATCAGGTGTTCTCCCCTCACAGGCTAAGATAAGTTCCCAGGCGTTTAAGATCTCTTGGCAGGTCAGCAAAATTGCTGGTGATAGAACGCAGACTTTGTGCACCGGAGCTTGCTATACTCTTTTCCCTCTTACTGCTCAGAGAACCAAGAAGAGCCAGTTACAGACATTCGCAGCTGAAGGGAATGGAAAAGGCCACTGGATTTAACATCCCCACTTTACAGATTAAGGAACTCACCACCACAAAGGTTAAATACCTTTTTGGGGTACAGTGTGGACCTGAATGGGCTGGTTCCTCTGCTGGTAGCCCCTCCTTGTGTTCCCTCCCCCACAAACACCCATTTCCCATCACGTTCCCCAAATGGCCAAAGGGAGAGGCTGGTGAGCTTATCTGTGAGTTTCCTCTAGACTCACATTTGCCCGCTGAACTGAACGCTCAGTTCAGACACAAGCTATTCTGAATGACAGGGTCATTCTCAGCACACGTTCGCTCAAAGAACATCCCAGACGCATAATATGTGAAAATTAAGAGGATTTTATTGACTTTTATATGTTCTTGGAGAAAACCATTCACATGTAAAAGTTTGACATTTGATATGAGATTTATGCACACTTCATTTTATATATAAATTTTTTAAATTTGTGAGACAGACATAATTTTTCTTGTCAACAGGACTTTCACATGATTACAGTCACAAAATTGGCACCCTATATTAAAAAACTAAATCAAACAGCTAGACAAAGAATGCAGCTTTAGGCCAATTTAAATCTCCACATGCACCCCCCCTTCATACATGATCCTGGGAATATCTGCTGTGAGCTTATTAAAATATTAACCAGAGAATGTCTGAGGTCACAAATAATTGTTTATAAAATAAAACCTCTTTTCTTAGTGCTGCTTTGTTTTGTATAGAAAAATATTACAAATAAAAATGAGTGCTATCCACGGTGCTCTTTTCGAAATCACACGTGATACACAGGTTCAGGCCGTCTGTTCCTCTCACATGGAGACAGCGCGACGCCCTGTGTGAGGACGACTCACTGACAATGTCCCTTGCCCACCACGACCAGCTCAGGAATGGCAGACTGCCTACTACGCTGACTGACTACACATGAGAGTGAGTTCAAACAGCTCGGGTATTGGGTACACTCGTAATTTGGCTCTATTCGACACTCTGAAAAACTGCTAGAGAAATAAGACAACATTGTTATGTCTTCCTGATACAAGAAATTTGTCTAAAAATCTGTGATTATACAAAACAGATTTGCCTTTTATAAAGAAATGGCTAATTTTTTCATGGTTGGATAATTCTAATTTTAACTCAAACCCTCTCTTCCCGGAGGGTGGAGGAGTGGTTAAGTACCATCAGGTCTAGTCTACAATCACAGGGCTGTTTCCCAGAGGGCAGAGCATGACGGCAATCTGTCAAACTAATAGCTTCCATTCTTGCGATTATGTAAATTTTAAAGAAAAGAGGTCTCTCGTAAGCTATATACAGCAGTTTCTATTTCAGTGTTTCTTTTTCACTTGATATACAATTAAAATTAATTCATGACAAATACTTGTCACAGAAATCTATGCAGGCACGTATAAATCCTATGGCTTTACTGGAGGGGTGAGGTCTTCAGTGGGATCATGATTCTGGATTCCATTTCCTGAATAAGTGGGACTGAAAATAGGATCAAGATTACTATGCTTGCTTTTTTCTCTGAACATGTTATACAAAATATATGCTGAGAACATTCAGAAGATGTGCTGCTTGATATGAGAACCAAAGTATCAGAAAATATAGGCCTGATCTCAGGCAGAAAGATATAAGCTAATCAATCAGAGATCGGGATGGGGACCAGCAGTTAGCGTAATGGCTATGTCGCTGAACTCCCATGTAGTCGACCACAGTTTGAGTCTCCTATCTGGTGGCTTAAACTCATGCCGGGCGCGTGTGCGTGCGTGCCCAAGATCCCAAGAGGAGAATGGAGGAGAAGGGATTGCGGCATGGCCATCCCCCCTGGGGGATGATTTCTTGCTTTCTGTCTCTCTGGCAAGCGCCAGCGCCCTATAGCAAAAACGTCTCTTAAAAAAAAAAAAATCTTAATACTAAATTTGAATGTGTCCATACAAAGGAACAATAAACTATACTTGTAAGGCTGTTACTACTGAGTAAGACCTGCCTTTGGAAATTGTGGGAACTAATGAAAAGTATAAGAGCAAGCAGCAAAATCACATACAATTATATGATTCTTTTTGAACTAAAAAAATAATTCTTACTTTATAGAGCAAATTACTTTTCTTGGTAGTGTATGTGTTTAGATTTTTTTTTTTTTTTTTGCTATAGGGCACATGCACTCACTAGAAAGACAGAGAGAGACAGAGAGACAGAAAGCGAGAAATTAACCTCCAAGGGAGATGGCCACGCTGTAGTTCCTTCTCCTTCATTCTCCTCTCGGGATCTTGGGCACACACACACCTGGTGTGAGTTTAAGCCACCGGGTTCGGGACTCAAGCCACGTTTGACTACATGGGAGTCCGGCAACACAGCTATATGCCAACTGCTGGTCCCGGGCCTAGATATCCTTGAAGTGCAATGTAGTTGGTATTTATTACCTCTATCAATGGCCATGGGTTGTAGCCAGCCCAATTATTTTCTTTTTGAGAGAGATTTTTGCTATAGGTCGTGTGTGCTCACCAGAGAGACAGAGAACAAGAAAGAATCCCCCAGAGGGATAGTCACACCACAATCCCCTCTCCTCCATTCTCCTCTTGGGATTTTAGGCATGCTCACACACACGCCCAGTGTGAGTTTTAAGCTGCCAGGTCTGGGGCTCGAAATGTGGTCAATTATGTGGGAGCCCAGCGATGAAACCATTATGCCATCTGCTGGTCTTCCAATTCTTTTCTTTATTTAAATTTAAATCTATCTATTTATTTATTTAAATATGACTGAGAGGGACAGAGCAAGACAGAGAGAGGGGAAGTGAGAAAACAAATTGCCAGATTGCCAGATCTGGGACTTGAACCATGGTCAGCCATGTGGGAGTCCAGTGTCCTTAACCATTACACGATCTGCTCACCTCCCAATTATTTTCTTAAAAAAAAAAAAAAAAAAAAAACCAAGCAAATGGGGTTTCATAATATATGTTGATGTATGTATACATGTATGCATATATATACATGATTACATATTGTATATATGGAGAGAGTTATCAAATTTCAACATTACTGGGAACCAGCAGTTAGTGTAATGGCTATGTCGCTGGACTCCCACATAGTCGACCATGGTTCAAGTCCTGGACCTGGCGGCTTAAAAACTCACGCTGGGCGCGTGTGCGTGTGTGCCCAAGATCCCAAGAGGAGAATGGAGGAGAAGGGATTGTGGTGTGACCATCCCCCCCGGGGGGGTGATTTCTCGCTTTCTGTCTCTATGTCTGTCTCTGTCTGGCGAGCGCACGTGCCCCATAGCAAAAACCTCTCCAAAAAAATTTTTTTTTTCAATATTACTTTTTTTAAAGAATTATTCTAACTTTATTTATTAATTATTATTATTATTTATTTATTTTCCAGTTTGACCAGAGAGAGACTGAGAGAAAGAGGGAAGCGAGAAAGGAAGCCATCAGGTCTGGGACTTGAACCATGGTTGGCCATGTGGGATTCCTGCACCCTTAACCATCACGCCACCCGCCAGCCCCTCCACATCACTTTTTAATGGATGTATTAAGTTAGAAAAAAATTTTATTTGTGTCATAAATTTTCAGAGAACATAGAAATCTGCAAAAAGAGAAACATAACATTTACAGTTCCCAAGGGCCTAAAATTATACTGACAACAAACATCATACAGGAAAGGTGCCATATTCTTTAGCGAAAAAAAAACCTGAACTACCTTTCTTTCTTCCAGCTTATAATTCACCATCCTTACAACATACTATTTTAAAATAATATACACAGAGAATTAGCTTCAGGGTGAAGGAACATAATTGAAACAGTAAGATAATAAGAAACAAATACTTCACTCATTGAAGTATTACCTGTGTAGTAGACCAATTCTTCCCAGCCATGTTTATGCCACGCTGCATTCCGTATATCTTCCCTGGTCTGAAGATCCTTATAAGCTTAAAAATAACCACATAGAAGCAAGACTTAAGTCCAACATAATGCTCTACATTCCACTAGTATGCCCAGTAAGGTACTGGTTCAGCTGGTCATCAAGTGTTTATTTATTTAAACTTATTTCTTATTATTCTTATCATTTAAAAAATTGGTTATAGGCACATGCACTCACCAGAGAGAGATGAGAGAGATAAAGTGAGAGAGGTAGAAAGCGAGAAAGCAAGCCGCCAGGTCTGGGACTAGAACTGTGGTCAGCTATGTGGGAGTATAGGACCCTAACCATCATGACACCTGCTGGCCCTGGTCATCAAGTTTCTTTTTTTTTTAAACAGTTTCTTTTTTTTTAAACGAATTATTTAATTTTATTTATTCATTCATTTATTTTAATTTGACCACAGAGAGACAGAGACAGAGAGAGAGAGAGAGAGAGAGAGAGAGAGACATTTTTAAGCCCTGGAACTGGGACTCGAACCATGGTCAGCCATGTGGGAGTCTAGCAATCCTAACCACCACGCCACATGCCGGTCCCAGGTCATCAAGTTTTTTTCAGAGACTATTTGGAGTTTCTAGTCCTGAGCTAGGAAAATTATGAGCTGGTTATGCGAGCAAAATTATGTTAAGGCCTTGTGGGAGCAGCAAAATGATAGTCTAGTGAATACAAGATCTATTTTTACAAACCAAGTGAATGACTTCAATAACATGTTAAATCCATAGCCAGAAATAGTCAGGCTACAAAGTAACAAATCAAATTCAATTCTGTTCAACATTTATAAAGCACTACACCAATCTGGGCAAGAGACTACGTTTGCTGCAGTGGAGAACAGAAGGAAACATATAGATGTTCCTCAACTTGGGAAGAGCTTCTGTCCCTATAAACCCACTGCAAACTGAAAACATCAGTATGTCCAAAAGGCCACGACCCGCACCCAGCCTCGGCCAGCCTGGGTCATGGGTACACATTCAGGGAGATCTCTGGATGCTAACTAGAAACCTTCCCACGTGGGCCTGCCTCGCAGAGCACCATTTTACCACTGCACTACTATCTGGCCCGAGAAGGCTTTCTAAAGGTGGCATTTGAACACTGGCCACGGAGGTGCAGCAGTAACACAGCACTCTATGATTAAGGATCCACATGAGAAGGTCCTAGGTGTGCATCCCAAGGTGTCCTGCAGCAGTAGCATGCCTGTGATTTGGGGTGGCTAACTAGGGTGGACTGTGGTGTGAGGACCCTGTTGGGGATACCTGTCTCTCTTTCATGGAAGAAATCAGGGAAGGAGGGAGGGAGAGAGAGGAGAAAAAAGGGAGGGAAGGAGAGGGTGGGAGGGAGGGAGAATAAAAAAGAATGCACACAGGGTGTGGTGAAGCTAGGCCCTGGGGGTGGGTGGGCAGGGGCAGCCCAGCGCTGGGGTAAAGGGAAGGAGTGTGGGGCTGTGATGGAATGAGCTCTGGAGGCAGACGTGCTGAGACCTGAGCCTGGCTCAGCTACAGAACAGCTGGGGGCTTGGGGTGACTTACTGCCATCTGTGAGCACAGGCATCTCAACTGTGCTGAGCGGTGGTAAGGACTACAGGCGATGCAGAAAACGCTGAAATAACCAACACACTAGAGGGGCCTCATGAATGTTGATTCTTTCTTTAAAAAATACAGAAACCTGGGACCAGCAGATGACATAATGGTTACATCGCTGGACTCCCATGTAGTCAACTGTGGCTAGAGTCCCCAAACCAGAGGCTTAAAATTCATGCTGGGCATGTGTACGTGTGTGCTCAAAATCCTAAGAGGAGAGTGCAGAAGGACTGCAGTGTGGCCATCCCCCCTGGGGAGTAATTTTTCGCTGTCTCTCTGGTGAATGTAAGCATAGCAAAAAAACCTCTCAAACCGCCCCCCTCCCCCCCAAAAAAAACACCCAGACACCTGAGGGTGCGTTTTGGAGCAATCTAGAATTCACTTCTGCCTGTCTTGACATCTTTTTCTCTATAGCAGAAGGTGGACAGTGGACACGTGGGACACTGCCTGCAGGCAACAGCAGACACCTTGGTGTGAAAGGAAGGTAGAGAAGAGGCCTACCCAAGGAAAAACTATGTGCTGAGGCCTGGCCACTCTCAACGCCCAAAGCGGGATGTTGCTCCTGGCTCCTGCGCCCTGGCATGGAGGAGTGTGTTGGCCAACTCCTCCCCACCTTTCTGCTGCTCTATGAGGTGTGCAGTCCTCCCCACAGGGCAGAATCTGATCCGCCCAGGATCCGTGCTCTCCATTAGAGCTCTGCTGCTCACGCCCTGGTACCTGCCTCCTGGCAATTCCAGCTCCTTCTGGGAGTCCTGATCCAGGTGCCGACAGGGACAGAATGCATACCTGACTTAACCCCCACTCAGGAGCCAAAGCCTGAGGTGACAGGTGGGCCTCTCTTCATCAGGTCCTGGCCCACCAAGTACCCATGCTCATTTACGCAAGAGAGTGCCTAGGGGGGTGACCACCTCCACCCCAGGAGGGAGAGAGTCTGGCTTCTCAGTTTATACCCTCTGGGCAGAACACGAACTACATTTGAAATAGTAAGAGATACTTCACCCGACCTCAAACCCCTAAGGTTTTTGCTTTTTAATGCTAGAGGGTGTATTTGCTGCCAGAGAGAGAGAGAGAGAGAGGGAGAGAGAGAGAGAAAGAGGGAGGGAGAACTCCCAAATGGGGGAACGTCATGCCGGGCAAGCCCTTCTCTATCTCTTCATCCCACCAGGGTATTTCAGGCACACGCGCACACATCCAGCATGTTTTTCAAGTCCCTGGGTCCAGGATTCAAACCGCAGCTGGCCGTGTGGGACCCAGTTCCCAATGCATACAAATTAACCACTGTGTTATGGGTAGTTCCTCCGAACGGTTAAATTACATGTACCAATATTGCAAAAGGCAGGGATATATAGAACACATTTAAATGTTTCTAAACCTACTACATTTGAAAACTCAGACATTTATAGGATGTAATCTCAGCTAGCCAGAAAACCAGTCCCTGGGATGCTGGGCCCACCCCTTGGTGTTCTGTGGAGCTAAAGGGTCACTGCTAGCCTGTTACTCTGGAGCTGGGAGGAGTGCAGTAGCCCTGGGAACTGGAGGACTTCCAGCTAAGTAAAGGAGCAGTGATCGCTGGGAGTGAGCATGGGGGTCTCTTCCCAGATCCTGCGGAGGCGGAGGGTTCCAGGAGCACAATGTGAATATGACTTTGCCTTAACACTGCTAACATCGAGACATGTTTCTGGTAGCTTTTCCCGCCCAGCCAGCCTGCGTTATTCAGCTTCCTGAGGACTTGCTGTAACTTCCCACTCTCCCTGCCCTTCCTTTCCTCCTTCACCTGTCGGTTCCCTCTAGATCCTGAAGGCCAGCTCACATCCTGTGCTTTCCCTGACCCTCCCCAAGTACAAGTAACTTCATATCCCTTTAAGTGGCCCTGAACACCTCCGCGTTATTGATCACACATCACCTCACGCCATGTTTGTCTTCTTCAGCATGAGGCCTGTCATTCTGATCTTTATAAACCCTGTCGTGCTAACATACAGGGCAGGCAGGTCACACACCTTGGTGGGACCGGATAGGTCAAATCAAACCCTCCCAGTTAACTGGTATGGTCGGAAATGAGTTATACTTTAACTTGAAAAGGCTTTCACGAATGTGCCCAGAATGTACGGGTGGTATCGCACCGAGCTATTACGGAGGCCCAGGTCCTATTCTAGTGCGGGGAGGGGCACAAATAGCCACGGATGTGACAGCTGGTGCCACACATGGCTCTGGGGGCTCAGCATGAGAGGGAGCTTCACATGGAAAGGGGTGACATGGCACAGGCCTCGAAAGATACCAAAGGTGGTGAGAAAAATAGCAGGTGGGGATGGAAAAGGTGAGCGATGGGTTTTCTGGGAAGGCGGAGCCACACTCCTCAAGGCAGTGGTGAGGGCATGCGTGCAGGGTAACCAGAGGTGGCTCTGAGGGAGCCGTGGAGCCGTGGAGCAGGATCACCGTGAGAGGTGCTGGGCTCGCCATCCTCCTCCCGTGTTGCTAGCTGCACCCTTTCCTCCTCCCCCAGGGGCCCGCTCTGATAGCCCCTAGAAACATGCCACGATCTGTGGACCCGTCACTGCTGACCTTAGTTCCACACAGCCCAGCACTGCCGTCCATCTGTGATGTTCAGATTTGCCATGGTGTTTAAAGTACTGACTGGAGGGGCTGGCAGGCGGCACGGCGGTTAAGGCAGCTGGATTCCCACGTGGCTAACTACGGTTTGAGTCCTGGATCCGGCGGCTTGAGAATCATGCTGGAAGCATGTGCATCTGTGCCCAAAATCCCGAGAGGAGAATGGAGAAGGGATTGCAGTGTGGCCATGCCCTCTGGGGATGATTTCTCATTCTTCCCTCTGTCTCTCTCCAGTGAGTTCACATGCCCTATCACAAAAACCTAAAAGAAAAAAAGTTACTGACTCAGGTCTGCTCTATTGCCTAGTAAAATTCACCCAGTGATGGACTCTTAAATCCCAATAACTCAGAAAGGAAGAAAAAAACTACATACCCCAAAGATGATGCACCATATACAGCTGCCCGATCTGAGAGAAGAATCCTCCGACTGCTTCATTACTGTCCTGCCTGAAGCGAATGGCACGAGCCCTGGGAGAGGAGAACATTTAGGCTCTGAAGTAGGTACTGGAAAGGATCAGCAGGCTAACTGTCCTCCGTACTCAGGGCAAGTTGTTCAGAATAAAGAGTAATTATTCTTTAACATTTTCTTCAAATGATCAAAGCAATCAAATGATCTTGAATGTATGTAAAATATAAACGTACCCTCCTGTAGCTATCCTAGCCATTTTTGTGTGAAATAGTATTTAATGACGACTACTGAAGATATAAACAGCGACATGAGGACAAATGGTTGGACTGCTGGTTCTGCCAGAAAATGGGCAGAAGTTAGGATCTGTCAACATAAAAAGAACTGCGTCTTGGTGAACTCTGAGAGGCTGTGAGGGAAACCTGGACACTAAAGATGCCACAGGGGACTGTCTCCAAGGGACCCAGGGGCCATCCCTGAAGAATGGGGTTAAGACAGAGATGACGACTGTGCACCTTCAAAGCAGTCAGACAGCGAACTCCTGGGACACCTGCTCTGTCTATAATGGGAGTACTGCGGACGTGGAGCTTGCTGGCAGCATGCCATCACCACTGCCACCGGCACAGACGAGGTTGCCTCTTGTGTTTTTTCTTTCTTACCCGAGCAAACCATTCGGAAGAACCATCGGGCATTCATCATGTACTGGGTATGGAGGAAAGTGAGTACATACATTGTGTCTATTGTAAAAGGTGATTAAGCCAGTGAAGAATAAGCACTTGTCTTAACTTTCCTTTTTTAAGATTTCGGCTCTTTCATTTAAACATCCTGTTTCATACTTGCACCAGATACTTTATTTTTGTATTTAGTAATGCATCTGAATTCCTAAAGATGCCTATATTTCTGCAAAAGCAGTTTTCTAGAATCAAAGGTAAAAATAAAGGAACAGGCTTCAATGATGTAGGGAAGTCACTGGGAGCATAGTTGGGAGTTTATCAAGAGACTCCGGCACCACGGGCTACCCAGTAAACTTATCAATACTTCAGGCTCCGGCCTTAAGTGCCAGTCATGTCCGGGTCTCAGAGCTGACAGGACAGGGCAGGACAGATGGATGCTAGCTCATGTAAAAGAGCTGGAGGCATGAATAAGGGCGCCAGTCTACTACCTCCAGTCCAAGACAGAACTCTCAAGGGACATGATACTTGAGTTGACTTGACCAGGGCATTCTTTCCCTGGTGTAAACACAAAAGGAACTGAATTATAACATTTCAAAAGCTGGGGGAAGCTGGGGGTGGTGGCGGGGGAGGGTCTGCTGCAAGGAAGGACAACACTCTCAAGGTCACTTTGCACTCTGTTCTCACCCACCATGAGCTCAATACCATGGACGTTCCTCAGTGGTGAAGGAGGGATTTCTGGCTATTGCTCCCCGTGAGTTACCCACAAGTAAGGTCAAATTCTTTAACTTTCACATTCAGAATTAAGTGATCAATATCTTTTCCGAAATTACAGATCTGATAAATTACTGAAATTAAGTAAATCACCTTAGTGTGCATTCTAATTCTACTAACAAGGAAAAAAAAAAAAACTGTCTCTCATTGATAGTGATAAATATTCCAGATTATTCATTTCATTACATATTTTTCTAATTCAGTTATGGTAGGCAAAAAAAATATACTTGCCTTAGCCTGGTAATAATCAGAAGCATGTACTGAAGAGGAGGTCACCATCTTAAATTGATTATGTGTTCTATTAGTTAACTTCCTCATTTAGAATCATCCTTGGGTTTGTGGCATAAATTCTATTAAGTGAAGTGTAGCATTAGCTGCTTTGTTGAGCTATATTTACATACCATACAGTTCCATGACCTTTAGTACATTAACAGATCTGTGGAGCAATCACAACCCAATAGTGCTAAGATTCCTGTGCCCATCTGCAGTCACTGCACCCCGGTTCTCACCCCAGCTCCAGGCAACCACAGGGTCCTTTGCCTTCAGTTCTTTCACTCAACGTGTTTTTGAGATGCATCCACATTTGTAGCATGTATCAGTAACTCATTCCTCTTTTTTGGGTGGGGCGGGTAGAAGATACGTATACTCTCAAGAGAGAGAAGGAGACAGAGGGAAAGGGGAAAGCACATCTCTATGGGGAGAGGTCATGCCGTAATCCCCTCTCCTTCATTTCTTCCTCCTTTTGGGATTTTGGGCATGTATGCACATACACCTGCCATACTTAAGCCACCTGGTCCAGGACTCGAACCACACAGTCAGCCATGTGGGATCCAGCTGCCTTAACTACTGGGGCCAAGGAGCCAGCCCATTCCTTTTTATTGATGAGTTGTAGTCTACTGTGTGATTATACCAGATTGTTTATCTGTTCGTTTGCTGATGGGGATTTAAGTTTCCACTTGTTGGCTACTATGAAATAATGCTGCTTGGATGTATGCTTTTGTTTCTATTGCCAGAAGTGGATTTATATCTATCTGTAGATATCTAATGTCTATAGATAAGTAACCCGAGGTTTACTATTTTGAGGAACTGCTAGACTGTTTTCAAGTGGAATCTCACTGTAGTTTTACTTTGCATTTCCATAATGACTAAGAGTGTTTTTTTTTTTTTTTTTGGAGAGGTTTTTGCTATAGGGCGCGTGCGCTCGCCAGACAGACAGAGAGAGACAGAGAGACAGGAAGCAGGAAATCACCCCCCAGGGGGGGTGGCCACACCGCAATCCCTTCTCCTCCATTCTCCCCTCGGGATCTTGGGCACGCATGCGCATGCGTCCGGCGTTGAGTTTAAGCCACTGGGTCCGGGACTTGAACCGCGGTCGGCTACATGGGAGTCCAGCGACATAGCCATTACACTAACTGCTGGTCCCAAGAGTGTTTTTTTTAATGAGGAAGGATGTTAACTATCTTTTCACATGCTTATTAAGCAATCACACATTTTCTTTGGTGAAATATCTATTCAAATCCTTTGCCCACTTAAAAATGTTATTATTTATGTTTTTATTGAAGTAAAAATATACATAAAATTAAATGTACCTTTTTTTTTTTTTTTTTTTTAAGATGTTTGCTATAGGGTGTGTGTGCTCACCAGAGAGGCAGAAAGCTAGAAATCACCTCCAACGGGAATGGCCATGCCGCAATCCCTTCTCCTCCATTCTCCTCTTGGGATTTTGGGCATGCATGCACATGTGCCTGGCGTGAGTTTTAAGCCACAGGGTCTGGGACTCAAATCGTGGTCCACTACGTGGGAGTCCAGCGACATGATCATTATGACATCTGATAGTCCCTTTTCCTTCTTAATCTTTTTAAAAATGTTTTGTTATATGGCTCACACACTTGCCAGAGAGAGAGAGAGAGAGAGAAAGAGAGGGGGAAAGTCCCCCCCCCCCGGGGGGGGGGGGGCGTTGGCCACACCACAATCCTGTCTCCATTCTGCTCCTAAGATTTTGGGCACATATGCACATGTGCCTGGTAAGACTTTCAAGCTGCTGGGTCTTGGACCTGAACCACAGCGAGTCATGTAGGAGTCCAGTGCCTTAACCACCACATCATCTGCTGGTCCCTTAATCAACTTTTAAAAATAATCATTTATTGGGACCAGCAATTAGAGTAATGGCTATTAAACTGGACTTCCACATAGTCGACCACGGTTTGAGTCCCAGACCTGGTGGCTTAAACTCATGCCAGGCTCATGTGCGTGCGTGCCCAAGATCCCGAGAGGAGAATGGAGGAGAAGGGATTGTGGTGTGGCCATCCCCCCTGGGGGGTGATTTCTCGCTTTCTATCTCTCTGTCTCTCTTTGTCTGTCTGGTGAGCACACACGCGCCCTATAGCAAAACCTCTCAAAAAAATATAAATAAAATAATAAAATAATCATTTATTATTTATTATAATTTTAAAAAATTTGCTATAGTGCACACATGCTCACCAGTAGGAGAAAGAGAGAAGAGAGAGAGAAAGTGAGAACATAAGCTGCCAGGTCCAGGACTCAAACCAGTAGGCCATTTGGGAGTTCAGTGCCTTAACCATAACACCATTTGCTGGCCCTCCCCTTAATCATTTTTAGTGCACAGTTCAGGAGTGCCAAGTATTTTATACTGTTGTGTAACATATTTTGACTTTGCAAAACTGGAACTCTATACTCAGTAAATACCAACTCCCTCTTTCCCCTCCACTCAGCTTCTGGCAACTAGCTTTCTATCTGCTGTTTCTATGATTCTGACTACTTTGGATACCTCCTATAAGTAGAATCATATTGGGTTGTCAGAAGTCATAGCTTTAAAATCTGTCATGACTCTTTCGATGATTATTTGTCCTTTGTGACAGGCTTATTTCACTCAGCATAATGTCCTCAAGGTTCGTCTATGTTATAGCATATGTCAGGATTTGCTCCTTTTTCCTTCCCTTTTTTTTTTTTTTCAAATTTACTTATTTATTTTAAAATTTGACCAGAGGGAACGAGTGAGAGAGAGAAAAAGAAAGAGAGAGAGAAAAAGAAAAAGAAAGTGAGAAAGCAAGCTGCCAGGTCCGGGACTCAAACTGCGGTTGGTCATATGGGAATCTAGCACTCTTAACCGCCACACCACCTGCCAGCCCCTTCTTTCCTTTTGGGATGTTACTACTTTTTGGTTTTAATTTTCATTGATCTTATACTGAGTGATTTTCGGCATCTTTTCATAAGCTTCTTGGCCCTTCTCTTCATGGAGAATTCTCTATTGGAGCCCTTTATCCATTTTTAAATAAGGTTGTCTTATTACTGAGTTGTTAGATTTCTAAATATTTTCTGACAGTCTGTGATTTATAACTTCAAAATGATGTCCTTTGAAGTGTAAAAGCTTTTTTCTTAATTTCCAAAAGTCGCATGTGCTTGACAGAGAGACAGAGGAACAGAGAGAGGGCGAGAGGGAGAAAGTATTCCCAGGGAGATATGATGGTGCCACAATCTCTTTTCCTCAATTTCTCCATCCTGTCAGCATTTGGGACATGCACACACACGTGCCCAGCATGTTTGTCAAACTGGTCAGCCCTGTGGAATCCAGCTCCTTTAACTACTAGACTATGGGCCAGCTCCAAAAGTTTTACAATTTTTTTTTGGAGAGGTTTTTGCTATAGGGCACATGTATTCACCAGAAATAAAGAGATAGACAGACAGACAGAAAGCGAGAAATCACCACCTGGGAGGGATGGCCACACCGCAATCCCTTCTCCATTCTCCTCAGGATCTTGGGTATACACGCACATGCGCCTGGTGTGAGTTTAAGCCACCAGGTCCGGGACTCGAACCATGGTCGACTACATGGGAGTCCAGCGATATAGCCATTATGCCAACTGCTGATCCCAAGTTTTACAATTTTAATAAACTCTAATTAGTCCATTATTTTTTTCTCTACTGGTTAGTGGTTTTGTGTTATATCTAAGAACTCTATGACTAACCCAGGTCCTAAAAAGTTTCTCTTATGTTTTCTTCTAAAAGTTTTATATTTTAGTTCTTGCTTTTAGGTTCACCTTAATTTTTACATATAATTTGAAGTAAGGGTCTAAATTCATATTTTGCTATGAATATTCAGCTGTCTCAGCACTCTTTGTTGAAGACTATCCTTTCCCCACTAAATTGCCTTGGTCCATTTGTCAAAAATCAACTGCTGGCCCCCAGCAGTATAGTGGCTAGGGCACTGGACTGCTACAGAACCAACTGCAGTTTGAGTTCCAGACCTGCTGGCTTACCTTCTCACTTTCTGGTGAGTGTACATGCCCTGTAGCAAAATTTTTTTTAAAAAATAATAATAATGATAAATAAATATGGAATAAATTCTATAAAAAGTTATTAAAGAAAAATCAATTATTGGCCTTACAGCGATGGTGCAGGTGGTAGTGTGCTAAACTGCAGTGCTAGAAGCCACATGGCAGATTGCAGGTTCAGATCCTAAGTCAACCTGGAAACACACTGGGTGCACATGTGCCCAAGAGCCTGACATGCTGGAGGGCTGGAGAAGAGGACTACAGGTGTCTGTCTGTGTGTCTGTCTTTCTCTCATGTACACGTACACTAGCTCGCTCTCTCTGGTGAATAAAATAAATTTTAAAAACTTTTTTTTTTAAATCAATTGCTCATAAATATAAGGGTTAATTTCTGAATTTTCAATTCTGTTTCACTGATCTGTATGCCTATGCTTATGCCAAGACTACAATGTCTTGATTACTCTAGCTTTATAGATGGTTTTAAAATCAAGAAATATGAGTCTTTCAATTTTGTTCTTTTTCAAAATTGTTTTGGCTATTTTGGGTGTTCTGCATTTTTAAAGCCTTTCTAGATTTTGACAGAGATTGTGCCGAATCCATAGACCAACTTAGGGAACAACTGATCTTTTGTTATCAAATAAAGAAAAAAAAAAAAAAGCAACCATATCATTGAGGTGCTCTGTTTATGTGACAAATGCAATGTTTCAGGAAAGATAATATATAAGAAGTACATGAAGTAACCCCAGTCAGTATTAGTACTGTATAAAAATTAAAAAATAAAATAATAATCATAATAAAGAGTTCCTATCCTTTAGGGATATATTCTGAAATATTTATGGATAAAACAGGGTCAGCTGGCATTTAATTCCAAATAATCTGGGTTGGGAGAACCCATGGTGGTATTCTCTCTGGCTTTTTTTTTTTGGAGAGATTTTCACTGTAGGGCGCGTGCGCTCGCCAGACAGAGAGAGACATAGAGACAGAAAGCGAGAAATCACCCCCCAGAGGGGATGGTCATGCCGCAATCCCCTCTCCTCCATTCTCCTCTCGGGATCTTGGGCACGCACGCACATGCACCCGGTGTGAGTTTTAAGCCACCGGGTCCGGGACACGAACCGCGGTCGACTATGTGGGAGTCCAGCGACATAGCCATTACGCTAACTGCTGGTTCCCCTATTCTCTCTGGTTTTTATACAACTCAAAAATTTCATAATAAAAGCACCTAACCAAACAAGAAGGTAAGTCAAGTCATGGCATCATCTTCATACTTTCTTCTAGAATCAATAGTATGGCCTAAAGTAATTAACAAGACTTATGAATGTACCATTCTGTAATATACTCACCAGTAATTGCCCCATTCAATCATGGTTCCTGGCTGAAAAGAGATTTAGATTTTGATTAGTTGGTTCTTCAGTTAAAAAAAAAAAAAGAAAAAATGAAGCTAGCAGTATAAATGTATCAAGTGACAAAACTAAACTGAAAAATGAACTCTCATAATGTGGAATGTAACAAAACATTATTATCCATTGTGTTCCTATCCCATAAATGGGAGTAGTATCTACAGTGTCATACAAGAGACTACACATATACAATGTCAGTCATTTTCGGCTTCAAACCATAGTTAGACCCATCTTTTAGGCTCTGAAGTCATGATTAAACTGTGGGTACCCATCCATACTTTGTTGTGAAATTTTAAAAAACGAATTTCACAAAATTCTATCTAGTTCAGTTTAATGAAGACATCACTCCATTTTTCCATTATAAAGGTGATTATTAGATCACATAGATCTACTTTCTACTTATATGCATCTTCAGTTATGGGAGAGATTTTCACTGTAGGGTGCATGCGCTCGCCAGACAGACAGAGAGAGACATAGAGACAGAAAGCGAGAAATCACCCCCCAGGGGGGATGGTCATGCCGCAATCCCTTCTCCTCCATTCTCCTCTCGGGATCTTGGGCACGCACGCACACGCACCCAGCGTGAGATTTAAGCCACCGGGTCCGAGACGCAAACCGCGGTCGACTATGTGGGAGTTCAGCGACATAGCCATTACGCTAACTGCTGGTTCCCATTATATGCATCCTTTTTAATAATGCTGCGGCCTAGTACTTTCTTTTAGCACTCACTAGATAAACATGTAGAAAGTGTTATTAAATATCACTTCTTTTTATTCTTACAGTGCTTTATAATTTGTTCAATAGTCACAACGTTTCTTAGTTACTCTAGTTTAGCCACAATAGATACTATACAAGGGGTCTTCCAAAAGTTCAAGGAAAACATATTATGAAGAAACTATGTGGACCAGCAGTTGGCGTAATGGCTGTGTCTGGACTCCCACGTAGTCGACCGCGGTTCGAGTCCTGGACTCAGTGGCTTAAACTCATGCCGGGCGCGTGTGCGTGTGTCCCCAGGATCCCGAGGGGAGAAATGGAGAAGAAGGGATTGCGGCATGACCACCCCCCCTGGGGGGTGATTTCCTGCTTTCTATCTCTCTCTGTCTGTCTGGCGAGTGCACGTGCCCTATAGCAAAAACCTCTCAAAAAAAAAAGAAACTATGTGTGGATTTCAAACAATTTTGCACCAAAATAAATCTGTACTAAACCTGTAATATCTAAACAGGATCTAAGATAAGACATTAGTCAGAAATGAAAATGAGCTCCCAACAGAGCCATGTGAATTACCCTACATTTGAGAGGATTTTGAGAAAGTCAGCTGAAGCATTAAAAAAAAAGAAAAGAAAAAAAAGAAAAAAAAAAGGTAGGAAACCTTCACCAGAGTCCTTCTCCATCATGGCACCACTTCTGTTCATTCCTCTCACCAAAAAAGGACATTCTGAGAGTGCTGATGGGACATCACTAGGCATCTACCTTACGGTTCTGATTTGGCTCCTTCTGACTGGTTTTTGTTCCTTAATCACAGAAAGTCTTGAAAGGGCACCCATTTCTCTTTAATTAATAATGTAAAAAAGACTGCAATGACATGGTTAAATTCTCAGGACCCTCAGTTCTTTAGGAATAAACTAAATAACCAGTATTATAGCTTACAAGTGTCTTGAATTTGATAGAGCTTATATTAAATAAAGTTTAAATCTTTCACCGTTTTAAAATTCCATTTTTCATAAATTTTCTGAAGTCCCCCGATATATTATACCAAGACTTGCACTTCAGGTCTTAACACTTAAAAACGAAAAAATGGGGACCAGCAGTTAGTGTAATGGCTATGTCACTGAACTCCCATGTAGTCAACCGTGGTTCAAGTCCCGGATGCAGTGACTTAAATTCATGCCAGGCACGTGTGCGTGCGTGCCCAAGATCCCGAGAAGAGAATGGAGGAGAAGGGATTGCAGTGTGACCATCCCCCCGGGGGGTGATTTCTTGCTTTCTGTATGTTTGTCTCTGTCTTTCTGGCAGGCACACGTGCCCTATAGCAAAAACCTCTCAAAAAAAAAGGAAAAATGTCAAGACCAGCAGTTGGTATAATGGCTATATCGCTGGACTCCTGTGAAGTCGACCGCAGTTCAAGTCCCAGACCCAATGGCTTACACTCACGCCAAGCGCATATGCGTGCATGCCCAAGATCTGGAGGGGAGAATGGATTGCGGTGTGGCCATGCCCCCTGGTGGGGTGATTTCTCACTTTCTATCTGTCTCTCTCTGTCTTTCTGGCAAGCGCACATGCCCTATAGTAAAAACCTCTAAAAAAAAAAACCCGGAAAAATATCAAATAATAAACATTATACATAAGGTTATTAAAAAAGAGAGAGAATTTAATAGAAGAGAAGTAATAGGAAATAAAAAGAGAGAAGATGGACTGGACTGAGGAGAAAAGAAGTCAAATCTAAATACAATGCTAACCGCACATCGCAGGCTGTACACTCAAGTTCTGCTGTGAGTATTAGGTAGTGCTTGTTTCAGTACTCACCCTGAGCTGGTAAGACCTGAGTTCATATATATTCGGTCCTGACCGTGGGACAGGCTCATTCCAGAAACTGAATTCCAGTAGCAGCTGATTTTTTCTGGAGAGAAGCATGTTGCTTCTTGCTTTACGAAATTCTATAAATTCCTTTGGGTGAAAAAAATGTGCTCAAGAACTCTAATACGTTTACATAAGCCCACTTTATAATAAGCATTTTCCTACAGAGTACTACCATAAGTAGGGTAATGAATGATCTCAGCTGACCTGAGAAAATACTGCTTTACATCTGTCGAGCCAGTATAATGACTAAAAGTATTCTCTTTCACTTTGAAAAGTGTCTAGGTTTGGGGCGGGGGTGGGGAAAAAAAAAAAAAAGTGTCTAGGTTTAATGACAAATTGCATGGCTATCGTAATTATTTAAATGGCAGCATAAATAAATTTAATTTCCTACATTCCTGACAATGATTTTATATTAACAGAGGTGACATGGAGAGTGCAAAGCAACAGATCATTCAAAACTATATAAATTAACTCATATTTATCTGAGAATCTACGCAGAAGATTTTCTTTCCTAATGATATGTGGTTGTTAAAATTCTATGAGGGTCAGATGGTGGTGCAGCAGTAAAACAATACTCTGCAAGGCTGAGCCACCTGGGAAGGTTCCAGGTTCAAGCCCAGAGACTTCCCTGAGTATACTAGGCATCCATGTGTCCAACCAAGATCTGGGGTTGGCTGAAGTTGGGAATAGACTGCATCCTCAAGACCCTGTTGAAGGTGCTCTTGTGTTCATGGAAGAAAAGAAAGAAACAAGAAAAAAAATACCTCTACTAGCATACAACTACTAGTAAAGAAAGGGGTAGGACAGAAAAGTCAGCCCAAGAAAAAAAAAAAAAAAAAAAAAAAAGTATGTGGCTGACAGCTCTTAAACTAGACTGGAGTATTAGGCAATCCAGAACTGTGTCTACCATGCCAATGTATAGTTTCAAAGTATCAGCTTATCAGTTTTAAAGTAGAAATGAGTTTTAGGATAGAAACTATTGTTTCAATATTATTACAACTGGTTACTTTAAGTTTAAAACCAACTTTAAGAGTCCAAATAGGGCTGGTTCTATGGCCTGGTGGTTAAGGGAGCCAACCCCACATGGCTGATGACAAGGCTCAAATCCTGGACTTGGCAGCTTGAAAAATATGCCAGGAGAAGGCCAGAAGGTGGTGTAGTGGCTAAGGCACTGGATTCCCCAATAGCCAACTGTGGTTCAAGTCCTGGGCCTGGCAGCTTAGCTGGGTATGTGTACATACATGCCCAAAATCTGGAAAGGAGAATGGAGAAGGGACGGAAGTGTGGCCATCTCCCTTGCATGTGTGTATGTGTGTGTGTGTGTGTGTGTGTGTGTGTGTGTGTGATTCCTCACTTTCTCTCTCTCTGGAAAGTACATGTGCCCTATAGCAAAAAGCTCTCTCTCAAAAAAATTTAAATGTGCCAGGTGTGTATGTGTGTGTGCGCCCCAAATCCCAAAAAGATGGAGAAATGGAAAAGGGATTGGGGTATGACTATGTTCTATGGAGGGGTATTTCTTCCCTCTCCATCTCTGTCTCACTCTGGTGAGAGCACATGCCCTTTGGTAAATTTAAAAAAAGAGCCTAAATAAAATTTATACTAAAAAAACAAAAACAAAAACCAGTATAGTAACAAAAACTGATGACAGAAGCATCATTTAATTCTGTACTAACATCTACTATATCATTAGTCTGAGTAAGTAAATAGTTTTCAAAATCTTTACCTGATTTTCTCTGAGTTTATTCATGACCTCTGTAAGGGCTGGATAGCCTCCTTCATACCTCCAGAGGTGGACTGAAATGCATTTTAAAAGATAACACATTTAGAGTTTTCAAATTTTCTTACCTTGAAAATATTCTAGATATGCATAATGTTAATATAGTACAAAACTGTAACATGCAATGTATTAGCTTGAGTAATACCATAAAGTTTCAGTAATATCATAGAACCAAATATTAAAACCAGTGAAAAGATAGTTTTAAAAAAATTATTGAGAAAATTAAGTATAAAACTAGACTGAAACTTAGAAAACTTTGATGATAAAAACAAGCATTAAATTGGAAAATTACTTAAGTGGTTACAGTAAGACTTAAGGAAGAAGTGTTTGTTCCAAAGACTTCTGCTTCCTACCAGCTTGATCTTGCTCGCCATACCACGTGTTCCAAGTCCCCACCAAAGTACAAGGGTAATGTTTGTCTTCATTAATCTTTGGCAACACCTCTTGACTTAAAAGAGAAGAAATGGCAACACAAATAGTCAACAAAATTCTGCCATGTGAACTATACATAATCAATAACAAAGAAAAGGCCACCTATTCTGTGTTCTGGCAACTAACGTTAGAACATATTTATGATAAAATGGAACACGGAATGAACCTGTTAGCTGAATTCCGTTGTGCTCTAACACCCCGTTTATCTCTTAGGCTTCTTACATCCCAACTATCTATCAGATATAAGCATCTCATGTACTATTTAAAACAATAAAGATGAGTCAAAGGCCCCAAGATTCTAAGAACTTTTAGTCTATTTGCAATTTCAGGGGAAAAAACTTCTTAGAAATGTGATATTTATAAAAGATAAGTTCTTCTGGTTCCAAAAAACAGGAAGAATGCAAGACATAGTCAAAAAGAACGTGGAAGAAATAGGAAAGATGGAAAGGAAGAACGTCATGTTTCATTCGCAGAGAGGAGACAACAGAAGCAGCACAGCAGGCAGAGGCAGCAGTGGTGGAGAACAAGTGGGCCTTGAGGAAGGAGGAAGAGGACAGAGCTAGAACACAACACAGTCTGGAAGCAACCTCAACCTCCAACAGTCCCAGAGGGCATCAACGTAGCAGAAGAATCAACATTAAAGATACAATAAGCCGAATAAACTAGATTCTATTCAATTCAACCAGCTGAGAGGGTTCAAGAGGCATCACACAGTCTCACAGTGAACACACATCCACCAATTCTGCAGAATCCACTGTACAGCACTGGCAAAGGCACAACTGGGTCACGGCAGTGTACTGATCTTACAGAGAGGTCAGATCAGAGCGTGTTCCTTGGAAACCATCCAACGGTATACTAGATTTTAATGTATGGAAAAGGTGAATGGAAGAGAAATAACTGTCTTATGCCAAGAGAAAAGTGAAAACCTGTACACTTTCTGAATAGAAAAATTACGACAAAAAATACTGTACAGATTCAACAATGGATGCAAAAGGATATCAAGGGTCAGAAAAAGAATCTGTTCAAATTATTGGCTGACACTGAATGATACTAAGCTAGTGATCACCACCAAAACTGATACACATGAGTAGTTAACAGAGAAAAGCTCTGAATGGATCACAACTAACTGAAAAGCCACACATCTTTACAACCCAGTATATTGGTCACATCATGTGTATTTTTTGAAGGGTGGTGTTACTTTTCAAATTAAGATCTGATATTAGCTGTGTCTGATGCATAACCCATGAGTGTTCAGAAATAACATGGGATTGATGAAAATCAAGGGTGGGGAATGACAGATTTGGGTTTCCTTTTTGCCCTACGATGAACAGGAAGTAAACCACCTGAACTGAAGCCAGTGTAGAGGCAGAACCAATAAAGATGACTCAGGTAAGGTCTAGAAAGGGGTCAGGGGCCTGGCAAGTGAGGCCCAGGTCTTTCATTAATACAAAGTCACATGTGGATTTTTAGCCAATCGTCTTTGCAGGGGGCCCCAAACCTGCTCTTGGGAGCCCTGGCCTTACCTGAATGGAGGTTGTAAGGCAGGCAGTACTTGTACCCAGAACTGGATGGGCTGGGCAGAATCTCATTATTGGGGCCCCTAAAAACCAAGCAGGAGTTAAGTCTTTATGGTCTGGAAATGGGAAACTACTGAAAGTTTACAAGAGAAGAAAAAACATGATGAAAAAGAATACAGAACCCAAGCAGATCAGTCGAACAGAATTTGGGGTGATGGACTGCAGGGTGGGGTTAAGATACAGCTACAGCTTTGTACCCAGAAATGCAGGCAGAAGGGAGGTTACCTGGGAATGGGGCTTAAGAGGCTAGAAGATGATGAAGAAGGAAACAAGAACACAAAAATATGTCAAATGAAGACTGCACAGTACTTAATAACTAATCACAAAGAACCAAGGCAAGGGTTAAGTAAAACATGGTGAATGACAGGGACACAGAAGTTTGAAGAACAAGTGATTCTATGTACTGAGTTTGAAGCAACAGTAAGACATTCAAATACAAATATGAATAGACAGCCAGAAATCCAAGATAGGAGGTGAAGTGATTAAAGCAGGACAGAAAAGATAATCCAGGGAAACATTAGCATAGAGAAAACTTTTCTTTTATGAGAAGAAATGTAGAAATACGCATCTGCTTTGTTTGGGCATTTTTTAAATAAAGAGAAATGTGCTGAGGTGAGCAAAAAATTCTATGCTAATGTTACTTTTCACAAACCACCTACAAAATGAAACAATAAAAGATTTTTGCTTCTGAAAATTATGTTGATTCTGAAGACGTCATCTGCTTTCTCATGAAAATATCCAATGTTAAAGGTAGAAAAATAAAATACCCTTTCATTATATTTGCTCCTAACTAACCATTAAAATACTCTCCAAAACATTCTCCCTGTTAACTTAATTAAGAACTGATGAGCTTAACTCACAATTTAGTCTTTAAATTTACGAATTCTATAGGAGGGTGAGGACCTCAGATCATGTAACAGCCAGAGGACTTGGATCTGGAGAATGAAAGACTTGGGAAGAAGTCACAGCTATATTCAATTACATCTAGGACTTTCGTGTGGCCTAAGTTTTACTTAGGAGAAAAACTGAAAGCAATGGCGGTCACAGGAACATGAGTGCTAATTCTCAAAGCTGTCCGGAGATAAATTTGTTTATAAGGCAGTCAGGAAGGGCTAAAGAAAAGGACTGCAGCACTGGAGGAGTAGAAGCCTCGACAGCCCTGCCAGGGTCTTTCCGACCTCAGGAGTCTAGTAACATTCTAAAGTCTCACAGACCGTGTGATGGTTTAGCTGGAGGAGTGTTTAACATCAAAATGCCTTTGGCAATCCCAGAGTTCAGTTTAAGGGTCTTTAAGCATTCAGCTTTAGGGAAAGGATGAACTATCTCAGCTTTCAAGGGTTAGCTGAACCCGCAAATACTAAAATAATTATTTTTCCCCAAGTAAAGGATAGTCTGGTATACACACCAAATTTTGTTGTATGCTTCTAGGCATTCCGGTTTAACATTGTGAACTGAAACAAAAGAAAATCCAACGATAAACTTATGAACAAAGGAAAAAAAGTCAACCATGAAGATAGCAAACCTGTCACTCACACTGTAATTTGTACAGACTGCTTGTTTCCTTTTTGGCCAGGAGATTAGAGTGAGCATCTTTTCTTGGATCAACTTTCCGGACAAATAAGGATTTTAACCAGCTGTCTTCTCGAGGTCTGTTATTCGAAGATGTCAATCTCCTATGGAATAATAAATACGATAATTTGAGTCCAGCTAGAGATGCAAAGATTTCATTATCTTTAGGTAGTGTCACAATGCACACAGTTTCCACAAATCCATCAATCCTGTTTAGCAAATGTGCACTGAGTACCTACTCTAGGCATCGTTCAAAAACCTGGGCTTCCACAAGATGTCTGCTTCCCATTACATTCTAAACAGCAGGAACAGTGAACGTGTAAAAGTAAATTTAATTTCTCTCCTAAGAGAGTTTTCATGTTTATCTTTATAATTTAAAAAAAAAGTGTTATTATTAATTTGCACCTGTGTTCACTAGAGAGAGTGAAAGTGAGACAGCAAGTCACTAAGTCTGAGACTTGAACCCACAGTCAGCCACGTGTGAGTCCAATGCCTCAGCCACCATGCCATCTGTCGGCCCTTATCTTTATAATTTGTGTCGTTTATTTTTCCCCTCTCCAAAGCTATTTTTGACACAGAAAAAATATACAAGGATAGTTGGAGTCATCAAATTCATACAGACACAAAGCAGACAATGGTTGCCAGGGGACGGGGTTAGGGAGAACAGGGAATTACTGTTTAGTTGGACAGAGCTTCAGTTTGTAAAGAGGAAAAGTTCTGAAGATGGATGGTGAAGATGGCTATGCAATACTGCTTAATGCCATCAAACTGTACACTTCTAAGATGGTTAAACGTGGAAGGGACCAACAGAAGGTGTAATGGTTACGTCGCTGGACTCCCATGAGTCCTAAATCCAGCAGTTTAAAACTCACATCAGGTGCATGTGGGTACATGCCCAAGATCCTGAGAGGAGAATGGAGGAGAAGGGATTGCAGCATGACCATCCCCATGGGGGATAAATGTTAAAATTGTAAATTTTACATTATAGATGTTTTATCATAATTTTATAAAGATTTGATTTAGAAAGAGATAGTGGTGATGGTTGTCAACACCGTGAATGTATTATAATTACCACTAAATTATATACTACTAAAAAATGGGGGGAGGGGATTGACTTAAAGCCTGCCACCAGATGCAGCTGTATAAATGAAGTACATCAACTCACTTGCCACTCACTGATGGGGTCTTGATATGAGTCTATAAGCAATTGATTTTTTACGGTCTTTGTGCAAACTTCTCTAATGTTAATCGGTATTTTTAGCCACTCCCCAGTGCTAGCATCACTGCCTCAGTTTCACTTCAGATCATTAGCCGGTAGATTTTCATAAGGAACACGCAACCTAGACCTATCACATGAGCAGTTCACAACAGGGTCCATGCTCCTATGAGAATCTAATGGCACTGTTGACCTGAGGAGGTAGAGCTCAGGCAGTAAGTACAGATGAGGCTTTGCTTGCTCCCCTGCTACTCACCTGTTGTGCAGCCTGGTTTCTAACAGGCTACAGACCAGTCCTGGTACCAGTCCACAGCCCAGGAGTTGGGGACCTGTGGTCTATAGAATTCTAGATTGTAGTTCTGGAATCCACATGGCTGACCTCAGGTTCAGATACCCATGCTGGCCTGAAAACATGTTAAGCAAGCATATGTATGAGTGCCCAAGATCCTGAGGCTGGTCCTGAAACGAGAACTTTAAAAACGTTTTTTATCCCTAAACTAAAATAACTTTAGAATAAAGATTTTTAACTGTCATAAAAACCTAAGAGGGCCGGGACCAGCAGTTAGCGTAATAGCTATGTTGCTGGACTCCCATGTAGTCAACCATGGTTCATGTCCCGGACCTGGTGGCTTAAAACTCACGCCGGGCACGTGTGCGTGAGTGCCCAAGATCCCGAGAGGAGAACAGAGGAGAAGGGACTGCAGCGTGGCCATCTTCCCTGAGGGGTGATTTCTCGCTTTCTCTCTCTCTGTCTCTGTCTGGCGAGCGCACATGCCCTATAGCAAAAACCTCTCCAAAAAAAATAAATAAGTAAATGAAACATAAGAGGGCTAGCCCACAGTGTGGTGATTAAGGCAGCTGGATATCATATGGCAGACTATATAAGTTTGAATGTCAGACCCACATGTTGGAAAAAAACACCGGTGTGTGTGTGTATGTGTGTCCAAAATCCTGAAAGGAGGTAGAAATGGAGAAAGGACTGCTGTGTGACCGTTCCTGGTGGGTGACACTTTCTCGTTTTCCCCCTCTCTGTCTCTCTTTGGCAAGTGCACATAGCCTCTAGCAAAAGTAAAAAGACAGGGTGGAAAAGGGCATCAAGGAAACAAACCAAAAAACCACTTAACAGACAAAAATGAAAAGTTATCTGTTCATGATAATCTATACGGTAATATATATTTTTTTCATTTTTTGAGAGATTTTTGCTGTAGGACACGTGTGCTCACCGGAGAGATAAAGGGAGACAGAAAGCGAGAAATCATTCCCCAGGGAGGACGGCCAAGCCGCAATCCCTTCTCCACCATTCTCCTTTCAGGATTTTGGGCATGCACACACATGTACCCAGCGTGAGTTTAAGCCACCAGGTCCGGGACTTAAACCGCAGTCGACTATGTGGGAGTCCAGTGATATAACCACTTATGCCATCTGCTGGTCCCTATACGGTAATATCTCTGATTTGACTAATATGCACTATATTCATACTAGGGAAAAAAGTGTGTTGTACAATGTAAAGATGTACAGTGATTATATAGAAATAAAAAAGTAAAAAACAAAAAAAATCTAAGGATACAAACTTCGTTAACACATTATTTGCTAATATTCACCTTAGAAATGAATTCCCACTACATATGCTGTCAGATGAGGAAAACTGGACTGTAGTAATGAACTATACTTTAACCATGAATTTTTAAGTGCATGTTTAATTCCCATAGGCTTGCTAGTGGAAATACAAATTTATATAAACTCCCTAGAGGGCAATGTGGCATTATCTATATCAAAATTGAAACTGGATATGATTTTCAGCCCAATTACAGTTGTAGTTATCTCCTACAGGCATATTTAAACAAGTGCACAAAATGGAATGCACAGAAATGGTCATTACTGTTTCATTTCGGATTTTCTCCTGTAGAGGCAATTTTGATATCCACTAATGTGGATTGGTCAAATAAACTAGGGAATATCACAAGTTAGAAAATAAGATATCATTAACAAGAATGAGGTAGATCTACATGCACTATTGTGTTGGTATCTGAGATAAATTATGTGGAAAAATCAGGCACAGAACGAGACCATATATATACACACACAAAGCAAACTTTCTAAGGGTTAATCTGGGGGCCCACTGGTGGTGTAGTGGTTATGGTGCTGGACTCCCACGTGGCTGACCACGGTTTGAGTCCTAGATCTAGCGGCTTGAAACTCATGCCAGGTGCGTGTGCATGCATGCTTAAACTCCCGATAGGAGAATGGAGAAGGGACTGTAGCTCAGCCATTCACCTGGGGGGTGGTGATTTCTCACTTTTTCTGTTTCTCTGGTGAGCGTGCATGTCCTATAGTAAAAGTCTCTCCCAAATAAATAAATCAAAAGTATGGGGCCAGCTGGTGGCATGGTGGTTGCAGCATTGGACTTCCACATGGCTGACCGTGGTTCAAATCCCAAACCTGGTGGCTTGCTTTCTCACTTTCTCTCTCCCTCTCCCTCTGTGGTGAGTGCATGTGTCCTATAACAAATTCAAAAAATAATAATAATGAATAAAATTTAGAATTAAAAAAAGAAAAACCATTTTGTCCATTTGTTTAAAGTGCTTTAAGCACATCACATTTTGGGATTTTTTTAAATAATATCATGAAGTAAAATGACAAGCATATGAAGTTACTAATATACAAAGTAGAAAGGTTTCTTGTTTAGGATTTTGCCATAGGGTGTGTGCTCATTGGAGAGGAAAAGAGAGAGAGGGGAAGTGAAAAATCACCCCCTCATTCCAGGGGGCTTGGCCATGCTTCAATCCCTTCTCCATTCTCCTCTCAGAATTTTGGGCACACATGCACAAGTGCCTGGCCAGGTTCAGGACTAGAACTGAGGTTGGTCGTGTGGGAATCCAGCTGCCTTTACCATCACGTCACCTGCTGGTCCCTCCAAAGTAGGAAGTTTTAAAATGTATTTATGGAACATTAATTCCTGTTTTCTTTATTTTAGATTTTAAATTCACTAAACAGATACTGACTTTTTATTTAAATTTATGAACCTAAATGGAACTACAAAGTTCAAGATATTTTTACTATTAAGAGACTTCCCAAAGAGAAACTTTCCTAATTGAGCATTAACCCCATATTTTAATAATACCAAATATATCTTAGGATGGGTTAACTGAGGTAAGGGTTACAGAAATGCTTTGTAAGCAAAATATGCAGAGTAGGGGATGATACTAAAAACATGAAGAGTATTCGAAAAGTTCATGAAAAATATGTATTATGAAAAAACTATGCATGGGTTTCAATTTTTTTTGCATCAAAATAAACTTGTACTTTAATTCCATTTTTTCATGCACTTTTTTTAGTCCCCTCCTAGTCAACACAGAATATACATAAGAATATCTAAGTGGTATTTGCTTATGAACTTGAGTAGCATTTGTCTTAAATGAAAGTCTGGTCAAGTGTGACTCTCAACTGTCTCAAACTTTGAAGATCTTTGAGTGTCAGGTGACCAAAGCTAACTAATGCGTGTAGTCCTTCTGGTCATCCAAGCCGAATCATGGAAGAGGATAGAAGCAGCTAAGCCAACAGCTGCCAGAGTGTTAAGATCCGGGCTAAACCTGAGTTATTTACTGACAATAATAATCACCAAGGTCAAGAGTCTTTGCCTCATATATATGAGAGTTCGTGGAGAAATGAAGCTAAAGTCTAAGTTTGTTTTGGGACCCCCAAAATTGAAACTCATGCAGTTACTTCAAAATGTACATTTTCTGTGAACTTTTTGATGATTCCCCTCCAACCCTACACTGGGGACACATTACAGAGGGTAGGGGAAGGAACAGCAGCATGTTCTATAAAAACATTAGATTTTGCATGAAATGAGCATTATCTGCCAGGCTCTGTAGACATAAAAGATGA